AGCGCCCGGAAGATATCGGCGGTACGGGATAAAATTATTAAGCCGCTCGTAGGTAGAAAATCATTTAAACGTCTCGCCTATCGGCTCGACGTTTAAAAGATTCGTTGTACCTACTCGCGATTTAATATGTAATAGCCACTTCAAATTGGATTTAAGTGTAAAATTTATAACGCTAGCCGGCAGTCCCACAGCAGAAACACAAGTGATCCATCGACACATTAAACACTAAATAGCCAAAAGACGTTTGCTAAGACATTGATCTCACGATAAGCTCGTTGTCGCAATAATCTCTATCTAATATTCTCAATTTTGTTCATCTTTGTTCATCGCTGAGTGCTCTTTATCTAGGACAATTTGTAAGAAGGAGCATGCATTACTAATGTACAGTTCAATCGTTAGTGCCAGTCAGCCGATTGTTTGTCGTGTCGCCAGCATTCCGACTCCCCCCACCCCCCGTGACATGTTGACCGCCGCTCCACGCTTCTGCACCGAATCAACTCTGTAAACTGATCGATGATCAATGCTGAAAATGAAATGGATCGGAAGCTGCCTCTTGTTCACAACAAGGCTCTCAGAGCGATCATTTGCATGCAATGAATATAACAGAGGCCGATATTCACATAGACATTTGAAACGACGGGAAAACAAAACTTGCTTACGAGATGATGTCAATTGGTTCGCGTAAATGATGAGAGTCAAGTTGTCGCAACTCGCACCAGTCTCAACAACTGTTTGAACCCGCGTGGTGGGGGGGCTATTTTTTGCCCCCCCCCCCCTCCAGACATTTTGATATGTCTCCTGAACCGCGGAGCCGATCGTCACCAAACTTTCAGTACCCTCCCGGGCATCAATTTTACACATTGTGACCAAAAATTTCCAGAGGCTATGATAGGTTGGCCGCAAATGACGTCAGACTGACGTCATGTTCTGCCGTTTTCGACCCAATAAAAGGTTTCGTGGGAAGAGCTGTCAGGCCTATAGCGTTGATGATACAGAAAAACGTCTAAGACATAAAAGGTGTAGAATTAGGTACCAGGACTACAAAATGACTATCTCGAAATTTCAAAAGGTTTCGAATTTTGATCAAAAAAAAATTGAATATAATTTTTTTTTTAACCAAAAAGTTTTTCGACTTTCGGAAAAAACAATATATGTGATAGCCCTTGCCGACTTCTATTCACATACCAAATTTTAGATCGATACCTCTCTTTTTGGCCAAGTTATAGCGAAAAAACTGTTCAAAATTGATGACGTCAATTTTTCAAACTCAATTTTTAGCAATTCTAGACCACGTAGCGCAAAACAAAGACCACCATTAGACTCGCCGTGACGAGCTGCATTGAATCAATACCCATTTTGCAAAAAAAAATCAACTTTGAAATTTGACCTTTCTTGACCGACATTGACCTGACCTCCACCAGGAAGTGACTGACCTAAATCGTTTCTGATAGTCTTATAATCAACACCATTGAGTTTGAAATGAAAAATTGGCCATAAAACAACACAGCCCTACTTAAAATTTGGTTCATGTGCTTATCCTTGGTGACCTGACCTGTGACCTGACCTGGTGTTATCAGTGACCTCTAATAGCAACATATGCACTAGGCAACTGAGCTGACGCCCTATCGCTGATTTTCGATAAAATGCGTTTTATTCGATGTTATAGCGCATTCGACCCGTGACCGGCAAAACATTTTATTTTTGACCTGACCTGTGACGTCATCAGTGACCCCGAGGTCAATGAAATTGGATTTCCTTCGACAAATTTGACTGGGCTTTCGAACACCGTTTGAATTTTGTGGATCCGTCCAGTAGTTTCTGAGATACGAGAGGGGCAAAAATAGCCCCCCACCCCCATCAGGTCGCGTTATAAGCAGACCCCACCAGGGCGCTGGTTAAGTCCGAACTCCTAATTCGATTTAGGTCTACTTCTAGGTATCTTTTTATCGCTAGTCTTCATTTCCCTTTCATATAAACGGGTCTTTCCTAGCTCATTTTTATGAATGTAAGTGCAGTTTTTCGGTTCAGGTCGACAGAAATCAGTGTCCGGTGGTCGTATAGCCCCAGGCGTATGTGACGTCAGACACACATGACCCGACGACCGCGGGGCAGGAGGCTATGGGGAAGGGATGCGCCGAACGCCCGGCAAGTAACTAAAATGTGATCTATTTACTGTCAATCTACATAGCCATCGTTCGTTCTAGCGACACAAAATGTTACTGTTAAACGTAACGTCTCTAGAACGTGCGACGTCTAAGCAAAAGCTGTGAAGAGTCAACGAGCGATAGACAGCAGGCACATGTCTGTAGCCAACTGCCAAGCCAATGTCCTGAAACTGAACAGTTGATAAACTAGTTACACACCAGACAGAAAAACAATCACTCGCTCTCTGACCACATAATTACGAAGTCAACTGCGGCTAATCACAGAGCGCCCTGTCCGCGGCGTCCGCGACAGGGCACCAAAGTCTGGTGGTTCTGGGCACGGCGTCCGCGACAGGGCACCAAAGTCTGGTGGTTCTGGGCACGGCGTCCGCGACAGGGCACCAAAGCCTGGTGGTTCTGGGGAGCCTGCCGGCGCTCGTTTGATCATCTGCAGCTTCAAAGATACCCTCGGAGTTGCGCCTTCCTGTTCCGGCAGTACAGGATGTGGACAGAGCTGGAACCTCGAAAGTCTCAGATGGTAATCATTAAGCCCGACTGAATAATTTCATGTCCTCCGGTCAGGGAAAATAGAGGAATCCTAGAGCTCCAGCAGGGCTCCATATGCGGGCTGTGGCGTCCTTTTGATGAATACATATGGACATATGATCGCGATAGTTTGTCGGTTGACAATTCACCTCAAGGCAATCTCATCATTCCAGTGCGCCTTTTTTATCTCATAAGGAATCTTTTCTAATGTTATTGTTGCTGAAGATACTTATCAGATATTGTGCAACGCATGAGTATGTACGTATGCATTGGTCGTGCAGACTGAACATTGAACAATTTACTTCAATCATTCATATGGCTTTGCCTCGAGTTGAAATGTCAAAACTGATAGTTTTGCTCGGCTATTTACCGCTACCGATTTTTAGAATTACTACCGAAGTCTACCATTCGCCTCTTTTTGTTTTGCTATCAGCCCAAGCCTACCGAGCTCATACGCTCACATCAAAGAACGACTGTATAGTGTCCCCTAAACCCTATAGCCGACTCCTGCCCCCGTCTGTGTACGACATTAGCCATCTTGGCGCCGCGCCGCGTCGGCCGGCTGTGCGCCGCGCTCGTCGACTGGAGGCATATTCGGCGCACCCAGCTGGCCCTCGGGACTCGCCAATCGCGACTGCCCGCTCGTGCAATTACATGTGACGGGCTTGTTTTGACTGCACTGGGCCGGACCGGACCGAGGCGGCGGCGGCGGCGGAGGCGGGGGCGGGGGCGGGGCGGGGCGGGGAGGAGCCGCCAAGTGGCTGTCATTGCAGACAAATTGAGCCTAGTCGAGCGCGCGCGCTGACAGGCACAAACTCAGCAGAATGGAAACCAGAAATTGATGAACCCAAACCGGAAAAAGTGCACAGTTTGTCAACTAAAAATGTGTCACGAAGAGGAAACACCAACACACGTTACTATCAAATAAGTTGCCTGTTGCTATATCCACATTGCTACGAATTTTCACATTGAATCATTGTTCGTTAATGACTAGAAAGGACATATTTGGATTAGAAGATTTCAGAGCTTGCCCGTCGGTTTTAACAACTTTCTTGTCGGTTAGGTAATTTTTGTTACGCCAAAGAAAATTAAATCTCATAAGATTTCATCGACTTTAGAGTAAATAGTATTACTTCAGCTCCCTGGCTTATGTAGTGACCAAAAGAAATATAATCAAACAATCAGCTGGGAACCATATACCGCAGCTCCTTATGTCTACATCTGTTTGTGCAGTCGCGCCCACTGGCCATGACTGTCCTGCAGGGACGGTGACCGGGTCAGCCCGACTCTGCCAGTCACCTCCTACTGACAGTCACGCCTGGGAAACCACCAGCCGGCGCTCGCTGCGTCTTCAGAGGAGCAGGGTACACTTCACGGACACTGAGGCTACAGGGCACTGCGTTCTCGAAGGAGGGTGGCACTGAGGTTTACATAGTGAGTTATCCCCCGCGCCATTTCGTTCCTGTTGGAGATAGAGCTTCGCGGTAAAGACCAAAAAGATTCTTTGGGAAGAGACAAATCCAATGATACCCAGTTTTACCTTCTCAGGTCATTCATTGACCTTCCAGGTCAGGTCAAACTAAAAAATGTTGCTGTTTTGGGTCACCGTTGGATATCAAGTGCGCTGCTTATCATATACCGATGACGATGCCGTTTTCTGGTGCCAAGCCAGCTAGAGCCTCTTTGTCACACTACCCGACCAGGTTTTTGCTGCTGAGGTCATTTCAGGTCAGGTTAGGTCAAGGTCAATGATATGTATTTGTATGTCTGTGTGTGTCTGTGTGTATACTGATGTGTGCACCGATTGTTTATGTGTCCATATTACATGAAATCATGATCTGAGAAGCCTTTATCAAAAATGCAATCAAAAAACTTCACGAAAAGTAAATTTAGCTTGCCTAAAACGCAATTATTTTAGATGACCTAGGTTGACCTTGACCCTGACCTTGACATCTGTACATCGTCGAACAGCATGTTCATTGATAGGTGGGAGGTAAGACTGGCAAAAAAGGCCGAAATCAAGGTGTCAAAAGCTCACAAGGCCCATAGCCAACGCAAGATGTTGAGAATTGGTCATTTGGGTCATGACATGACCTGAAAAAACAAGGTCATATATCCAAAACCGAAAACCAGAGAAACTTGAAATTTTCAGTGGACATTAAGAAAGGATAGAGGAGAAGCTATACGAAAAATCAGGCTTCTAGCTCTAAAAATGTTAAGTGCAGAGCAGAAAGACTACCTGGGGGGGGGGGGTGGCAACCCCCCCCCCCCCATGTGCGGGTGAGGGCTAGAGCAATGCATTAGGTATAATGAACAATTTGATTGATTGCTTCCATTAATGTATTATAAAAAATAATGATCAACAGAGCCACATTTTAACGGTCAGAAAGCGCCACAAAGGGCTTGCTTCCCCACGAAGGTACACCGATGGCAGATCACAGGCAGTGACCGTCAAAAGTAAGAGGCTCGTCTGGAAAGGCAGATCCTTTGTATGTATTTAGAGCCTTGGGCAGACCTGTGACAGACAGCCAACCTGTCACTGCTGACCTGTCCCTGGCAGATGACCTGTCACAGACAGCCAACCGGTCACAGGCAGCCGTCGGGCGTCTGTCCGTAGCGGCTCTGCCACTCTGCGCAGACCGTGTTGAGCAGGTCGGTGAAGAGGGCCTCCTGCTGGTCGGCGCTGCCCTGGCTGCCGTCCAGTGTGATGGTCGGCACGAAGGTCAGCGCCGGCTGCAGGGCGTCCGTCTGCTGTCCGAACTGGAGCGCCTGCTGGTACGACTGGTCACCGGCGGCGCAGCCGGTCTGCGCTTCCCAGTCTAGACCCACCGCCGCCACACAGGCCGGCCCGTCGCGGTGCAGCGAGCGCTGCTTGTCCATCAGGCAGGAGATGACCCCCACGCGGACAGCCTCCGCGCTGACGGCGTCGGCCACGCAGGCCAGCAGCCGGTTGCCCCAGCACTCCTCGTCGCCGTGCTGGCACGAGATGACGCCGTCGGCATCCACTGACGCCTTGCCCCAGGGCACGAGAATCGGCGTGATGATCTCCGGAACCCGGCTGTAGGTGGTGTTCAGCTGGTCGACCACAAAGTCACGCGAGTCGGGGCACAGCGCCTCGTAGTAGACGCCGAGAACCAGCGGCGCTGGCTCGGCGGGCAGCGCGGCAGTCAGAGAGCTCAGCGCGAGCAGGAGCAGCAGCAGCGGAGCCATGGCGGAGGGTCAGAGGTGCGGACAGACTGACACGGACAGGACCTGCTCTAATAGACGGTGGTGGGAAGACTGCCGAGTTATATAGGCCGGCGGGGCAGCGGCCGCAGTTGCTGTAGCGCCGCGGACAAATTCACACCTGTCCACCTCCCACAGCCCGAGGTGGGGGGTTCCGTCGCCCCCCCCCCCCAGCTGGGGTGTTCCTGCCACGCCCTGCTCGCGTCCTCTCAGAGTGACACACCGTTTTTGGGCAGCGTGTTTACACAGCAGGTGTCGCGGCCTGGTGAGATAGGCTCGCCGTCACAAATGTGTGGTTCTGTGTACGTAAGTGCACTCAGCAAGCAGTGCTAGTCATTGTTGATCAAATGCAGCAATGCTCGCGTCAAATGACTACATACATCGTAGAAAAGCTGACAGTCTTGCTTGTTTTTAAACGAGAGGTTAGGAAAGGGGAACAAATGAAGTAATTTTTGGTTTGTGCTATACTTTAATCCCAGGGCACAAACGGAATACTTATGCAACGGTAAAGCACCTATAAATGTCATATTTTCTATAAACATATCAAAGACTTGCATGATAAGCTGCTTCGAAGAAAAAAAATTAATGCGCAAGCGTTGACGTTGTAAGCGCCCAGCCGTGCTGAGATGTCGCGCGCCGGCTGGTGGTTTCCCAGGCGTGACTGGCGACCGGAGGTGACTGGCAGAGTCGGGCTGACCGCTTGTGTCACCGTCCCTGCAGGACAGTCACGCTCCCTCGGCGTGATCACACTATATGCCGTAACGTTTGTATAGGACGTTTGAAATTGCAGAAGAGCCCGGCAGAAGTGTTCTGAAAACATAGTCTGTTGGAAGGCATGTGTGGTCAGTAATCAGTGGTCAGTGATCAGTGCGTGATCAGTGTGTGATCAGTGTCGTGGGGGGGGGGGGGGCAAATTCAAGTTTCAGTCGTTGGCCAGTTTTGATCGTAACCAAACAGTCTTTGATCGAATTTTGGACACGCGTGTCGTCGTCCGTCGACGCGGTGTTTTCTCTGCGTGTGGATATAAAGGGAGGTCACGAGATGCAACCTGGCTCTTCCCCTCAATATATTTTTCAATGATTTGATAGGACATCTATCAGGGTTTGATTATTCTCAAATTTCATCTGATTCCCGACTTATCCTCGGCTGTTTCGGTCGTTTCTAAGTGTCCAGCTTGCATTCAAACGTTGAGATGGGTGATATGCTTTCGTCATTCGTGGATAAAAGGCCGATTTCGGTAAAATCGTTGTTAACCCGCGCCCTGCTGGGGGGAGGTGTTTGAACACCCCCCCCCCCCTTTGTGGTTTTTCGCGAATATCTCAAAAACAGCGGCGCTCCGCGCCGCCGTTTTTGGTACACCTTATCATACATCAATTCTACACATGTTGTGAAAATTTCAGACCAAGGTCATTCAAGGTCAGGTCACCAGGTCACTTGAAGTGACCTCACCTCATAAAAAGTTTCAATGTCTGTCATAGCTACACTGAGTGACCGATCGCTTTGAAACTTTCAGTGATTGCTCAGAGCAATAGCGTGTACAAAATGTATATCTCAGAATTTTGATATCGATGACCTAAGGTCAGGTCAATTTTGCGACCTCCCCATTATAAGTCAATGGGAGAAAATTGAAATGCGCCTACTTTGGACGAAAGACATTATAAACACTCCCAAACACTGAATTACAAGTGGTTTAGACACACTGAACATGAAAATGGTGTCCGTGACCCCTGTTTATGCCCTGAGGTCATCTTAGGTCACGAATGGTATCTAACAGTTTTTCGCAAATAACTTTAGATAGAGGCATGCTAGAGCGATGAAAACGCCTTAGATGTGTTCAGCTCGACGATACGGACCGACTGATATGCAACATGACCCTTTCCGGTCAGGTCATGACCTTGACCTGAGGTCAAATTTTCAAGTTGACCTTTCAAGGTCAAGTTATAGTTCATTCGATGCGTCTTGACGAGAGGAACACGATGCCGGTAAAAGTAAGCCCGTACATGGCTTGGGTCAAAAATTATTGCAGAAAAACTGTTTCCGAAAAAAAATCGGTTATTTTTGCAGTTTTTGCCCCCTGCAGGCAAAACCGTTGACGTTAGGTCAAATCTGAGAGAATTACTCAGAAAGGGCGTTAATAGGGCTATCGAATGCGCTTTTCCGCGGCGCTGTAGCTCTATTGGTTCCCGAGTTATGCGTTGGCTTCTTGGAAATTGTCGACATTCTACCTGGAAATCGGCGAAATTTTGCCTTCAATGACCTCTGGTGACCTGACCTTTGACCTGACCAAAAAATTGACCGAAGTGATTTCCTCATTATTTTTGACGCTCTTTCGAACGCCGCCTTCCGCGTATCGCTAAGTGGCCCAGGAGCCGAGTTAGAAGGGGGGTGTTCAAACACCCCCCCCCCCCCAGCAGGGCGTGGAAATCCAGGACCCCCAGCCGGGCGCGGGTTAATCTGTGCTAGTAGTGGCAAAATGTGGACCAGAGGACCCAGTCCATAGAACCGGTCTGGACCCATATGGGTCCGGACCGGGTCCTCGAAAGTAGTACTGACGGGTCCAACCGGGTCCTACCATAAACGCTAGGTACTTCTTACATACTAAACCTGATCGCAAAATATGAAATGAATGGAAAGAAAACATTTGTTATGTTATGCTCCATAGCACACTGTAACTCGATCTCGAAAGTATTCCCAGTTGGAAAAAAGGCTGTTTTACTTTATGCAACTAATGATACCTACAAATAATTTGTGTTCATCGACTTATGGGGAACAAGTCCAACTGGTTTCGACTCCAACTTAGACCGGGTCTGACTGGTTTTAGAAATGTTCAGACGGGTCTGGGTCCAGTCTACCAATGGCTAATATAAACCAGATATATTCAATGTTCATCTACTGGTTCACATAAGAGGCTGTTCGCGATGTTCTTTTTTATCTGTCAATTGCTTTGTGGCTGTAATTTTTTATCTTATAGAACGTTTTCATTCCTGCCGTCTCTCGATTTATCGTTCCATATCCCTAAAGTTGCGATTGAAAGTATGTTTGTTAGAAGACTCCGCTGCAAAACTTTTTTGTTTTTTCCTCGTGGTCTTTGGCAACTCAGCTGAGACTGATGAGCTGCAGTTTGGATGCCTCATTAAAAAGAAAAACTTCAGTTCGTCATTTTTCATGCGTGAAGGATAAAAATACAGTAACAAAAGAGGTTGATTAATCGTTTGAGTCATGAGTGAATTAGGAGATAAATAAGTTTTAAAGTTGCTGAAGATGGGTAATGTGTTAGCTGTACGCCTTCAAAACCTACATGCATGCGTATAAAACATAAAGTGTGTCCATAAATCCCCAAAAGAGTTACACGATAATCAACAATTGCTAAAAATAATTGAGCCTAGCTGCATTTTTTGTTTAGAAGCGGATACAAAGACAACTTTATGTTATAAAACAATATTGACATAGAAAACAGTAGCATGGCAAGGTGAATCAATACACACTGACCAGCAATGTCCACATTAGCACTGTCCACAGTGGACCCGATGTCGCCATTTGATTGAGCCGCGTTCGGCGGCGGGGTGGGGACGGGGGCGGGTGCGTTTGTACTGACGGGGTCGCCGCCCGGCCTCGGTGCCAGTGGGCGGTCGTCGCGCAGAATGAAAGGCCGACGTGCCCCGGCTACCGAAATTCAATTTGATAAACAGACCGGAGCGGCGCGGCGCTGTGTCCGCGAGCCGCGCTGGAGCGCTGTCTCACTCGAGCGGAGCTCGACTCGACAATTAGACCACTTCCAACTGAAGGTCACCACCAGCAAAACGACTCTGTCAAATGCAGTTACGCAGAGCGAGCTTTGTCACAGCATTGGTACAGCCAGTCGGCACGTATGTATCATCATCGGAACCCCATTCGTCCAACCGCCCGACAGGACGTGACAACACGCACTGAGTCGATCTGTTATAACATTGATCGTTAGATCAATTGACACCAAGTCAGTACCCATGACGGTCAGTCACCACGCTAGTTAGCGTCATTCACCGAGTACATCCCTTCCAAGCCACTCGATGACCATTGCGCTCCTGTATAGCATTACATTACCGTCTGTGGGTAGGCGCACTCGTCTTTATGCTTCCTTCCCGTCACATGAGAAGCGTGTTCACCGCTCAGCTGTTCGATCATCCCACCAATGTCATGTCTTAGAAATCTGATCATCCCCAGCCTCGACAGCCTCGACTGCTGCACTGCGGCGGGGAAAGCCAGCCGGTCCGTGACACTAATCACTCTCATTAATCCCAGCGAACCCCAGTGACACACCAGCGGCTACTGATGAGCCGGGATCGCCAATAGGTCGGCTCTGACTGAGGCTGTCTGGTAGCCGTCTGGAGGGCACCAGGTGCTCACAGGCAGCTGTCGGTCGCACAGTCATTGATATGCAGCGCGGTGTGAGGCCGTGATTCGGGCTGCTGCCGGCGGTAAAATCGACCATCATCGCGGCCGGCCCGACAAACAGCGCCATTAACGGAGGACCGGGGACGGAGAGAGGAGAGAGGCTACTCTGCCTCCCTCTGTATCGCCAGGCACAGCTGCACAGCTCAGTTAATTCTGCTAAGAGATCAGGGATGGAATTCCTTGGGCTGCTTGTTGACCTTTTAGTGGTCTAAATAGCCGTTTTCACGATGGCCATCTGGTACACATTTGGTACACATCTGGTGCAGATTAGGTGCAGATTTGGTCAAACTAGGCTCAGTGTGTCTCTTAGCAGCTATCAGCTAGGGTTGCACTAATTGCTTATATGCCTGCTTTGTCATATTATCAGAGAGCATCATCGATTAAAACACTGAAATAAATTCATAAAATGAAGATATTTGCTGTCAAAGAGATTAGATGCAGATATGGTCAAATCAGGTGCATTCGCCGGATAGCCCGTCGTGAAAACGGCTAAAACCTACTGAAGGTAAGCTTTCGAGCACGCAAACAAGTCCAAAAACCGTATTTTTGATCAATTTGTTCTTTGACATCATGAAATTAACAACAGCTCATTTCAAATATTTTCGTATACAACCGTTTAGATGGAGGATGGGTTTCAGAACTCTTTGTGAAGTTATTTGTAAGTTACAGCACCGACAGAATAGTAAAAAGTGGATACTCGATTTTTTTAGAGCAGAAGAAGGGATGGCCTGGTACGGTACGTTTGTTGTGAAACGGTATCACTTTAGCTCCAGTCCTTGCCTGGGCTGACGCCGGCCCGCCGCTCTCGGGAGCCATGCGGCACAGTCTACCTCCAAAACGGCCGGCCGATCACTCAAGCGTCGAGACCGCGCGGCTGGAGGAAGGCTTCAAACATATCGACGGGACCTCAACACATATACCTACACTACACAGTACACAGCAAATGCTCATCTAGACATTATCGCTGACTGCTGACCATTTTGCACAATCAGCATTACATCAGCAGTACATCGGCCATTAATGGTTTCGCTTAGGTAGGTGGGTCTCGGCCCTTCCTGGAAGTGGGTCGCGTGGCCGCAGGTGACGTCGCCCGTCCGTATTGACCCCTGGCGAGGGGTGGTTGGGGACGGCGCCCATGTCCACACACCACAGGTGCAATCGATGGGGTCCGCGTGGGTCAGCCGTACCGAGCCGTTCCGCCTGCTGACTGACCGAGTGTCGCTGCCCGTCCCCGCGCCTGGCCACAGTCAGCTGTGGACCCCGCCGTGCTGCTCACTAGTGTCAGTGTGTCTGTGTCCGCGTGTCCGCCGTGTCCGCTGGAAGCCATGCTGCTGCCACTGGTTATGTGGACGCTCCTGATGACAGCCCGGTCTGAGCTGGACGACTACTCTTTTTACGAGCCCGGAGCGCCACTGCGACGACAGTTTGAGCTACTTGAACAGAAGCCACACATGATGATCACTTGCACGAGTACGACCGTGATTGGTGAGGTGAGAATGCTCCAGCTCTGCACTGCGGCGAGAGCGATGGGGATTTACTAAATGCTCGATGGATATGTGCTGTAGCCCGTCGGAAGTGATAGCTGTTTCGTTCTCCCACCGCGCTGCTGTGATCTGTTGGTTCTGTTGGAGGTAGACTGTGCCGCATGGCTCCCGTGCGCGGCGGGTCGGCAGGAGTCCAGGCAGGGACTGGAGCTGAACAGTTAGCGCTCCAGGACAGGGATGAAATCGATAGTGAATCGTTATACTGCACTGCCAGCGTATAGTGTTGATACGGCAGGCTAAATGAGCAGTTATTGGCAAATGAATGTCTTGTCTCGCTTCACTTGAGCAACTGTGGTGCTGTTTCACGTCCTGTATTTCATTTCTTTATTATTTTAGTAGCGAAATTAAGGGTGAGGGAGCTGGGGATTTGGAATTCAAATCAACGGTCACGTTAGTGTGAAACAGCCATGAGATTCTTGGAATGTCAGATTTAAGCCGTTCTTCAAATTATGGTGGATGTTGCTGAAGGATTTCTGACATAGCCGGCATTTGCGTGACACGCTGATGTAATTTGGCTCAAGAGCTTAGCCTTCTGACAATTCGGGACACAGGTTGTGATACGCATGAACAGTTCACAGGTTACGGAATAATCTGCCAACCGTGTGTTTTAGCTAACGAGACATGTTGACATCTGATTAATCAGTTGCGTATTTAGAAAAGCTGTGATCGTACCTTAAATAAATATATTTGCCATTTAGTTACCTTCTCTTGGTCTTGCTGCAATTTGTACTCAGGTGGATGTAATTTTATCATATCATTCACCGTACCGATAGTTACAGTGTCTGGCCTCGCATATAATTTGTCGTAGTCGGTCCAATACTTATCTGAATGACCTGGGCAATTGTGATAGTAGGCCAAATGCTTGTCTGAATAATCTGTAAAAAAGGACACCATTATGTGACCTTTTTGTTTTTCCATTCACAAATACTTATGTATATGGCCCTGCAAATCCGACAGGCAATGTTCGCTGTTCGATCCCTGCTCTATACCTGTTTGTTCTCTGCCCTGCACACTGCAGCTGGAGTACCGGCTGACACCGCCGGCACCGGATCCCGACTCCGCGCCCCCGTGGGTGGTGTACCGGCTGTCTCAGCCCCCTGAGAGCGGTGACCGGTCAGCCGACCCGTGCCCCACCCTTCAGCGCTGTCTGGGACACCGGGCCTGCGCGTTCCGCTTCAGCAACGAATTCTGCGGACGGGACCCCGCCCCCGGCCGGAGGAAGGTAGGATGTTATTGAAATATTATGAATGTACAAACCACCTATCGCGGTCATCGAAATGTATTGTCAGCTTTGATCCGCGCCACGCGATATTATGCCATAATCATTATTTCTGTTTTTGGTCAACCCTGAACCCATCAGGCAAGCAACCCAGTATTTGCATTCATATTGTTCTCACTATTGTGCTCTACACTCCAGCGAATCTTGCTGATGGTGAGCTGTTTCGAAGACACCAATCACTCCAATGCAGCGGTGAGTGTTTTCGTGCTATCTCCGTTCGACAGTAATGTCCGTCACGGAGCAGCCCAATTAGTAATTTGGCCATATGCTGCACGTTGTGTATGTGAATACAACCAGGGTGTTATTCTGTTGCCAATTGTATTATTAAGTTCGCTAGCTAAGTAAAATGTCTTTGAAACATGAGTTCCATAACATGAAAGAAACACTTGTAAAGTAGTTCTGGTTGTGAAATAACTTATCCTTTTAGTTTTGGCTTCCCTATTGCGTTTTTGTTTAGTTTGTGACCAGGGATGCGGAGCCGTGGAAATTTCAGACGGCTCCGGCTCCGGCTCCGGCCCCGGAGAAAAAAATCGGCTCCGGCTCCGGCTCCGGCTCCGGGTGAAATGTCATGGCGGCTCCGGCTCCGGCTCCGGCTCCGAGCAAAATGATCCGGCTCCGGCGGCTCCGGCTCCGGCGGCTCCGGCTCCGGCTTCTACTCAGTACATCCCCTATGCGATCAATTAAATACTGGTGGAAGAAAAAAGGCGATGGGATTGGTACACGTTGCTTCTGTATTTGTATAACAAGGCTATTTTGAATACCTCATTGTTTTACGCCTTGTACTGTCAAACCGAACCAGGTAAATAATTGTTTCCTCTTAAGAAAAGGAGCCGGAGTCGCCCCCTTTTTTGACGGCTCCGGCTCCGGCTCCGGCTCCGGGCTATATTGTTTCACGGCTCCGGCTCCGGCTCCGGCTCCGGCTCCGCATCCCTGCTTGTGACTGTTCAGCTGCAGTGCAAAATAAGTCAAAGTGTTATCTGGCTCCTGGTCATTTAGCTTCCTGCGCCACCTTATCTGCCCCGCAAGGCGGTCCACATTCAGCACCGTTCCGTATTGGTACCTGTACCCTCCTCAGGTGGTGCACCTCCAGTACCGGTCGCTGCTGGAGGCCGGCGTCAGGAACTACCCGGCGGTAACTGTGGAGGAGCGGCTGCAGCCGGCTGACCTGGTGTTCGGTCTCAGCTGCCCCAGAGATCGGCAGGCCGCCGCGGCCGCCGGCTACCACGGCGTCTGCTCGGGTCAGGTCGATGGCCCGGACCGGCTCCGGCAGAGGGCTGCCTTCATCCTGGCCACGTGAGGCAGCGACACCCTGAGCTAGAACCTGTCATCTCCAATCGCAACCCCTGACAGCTCCGACCGCAACCCCCGTCAGCTCTGACCGCAATCCTGTCAGCTCCGGTCCGTTTCATAGAAAGCAGGGCTTAGGGATTTCTTTACATTCGGTGGTGGGTGCCGCTCGTAAATTTAACAGTTTAATGTACACAACTTTCGGCCATGTGCGCATACTTTACGACTCCGTCAATTTATGGCGATGATTGCATTGTTCCTTCCTTCCGATAAGGTCCGCCCACGACATTTAACCACATTCGGTAAAATAAAATAGAATAAAACCTCACACAAAACCACACCATATTGTCATCCGCACTGCGTTGGGAGGTAAATATCAGACCAAGAGCAAACCTTTTTTATTTTTGTCTGGTGCTAACGTAAGGTGCTGTGAGTCGCTGGGCTGAGGGTGAGGGCACTCGTCACCTAATAATGGGTGGCGGAGTAGTTAAAAAAACCTAGACGTAACTTATGTTGGAGCTGTCCACATAGCCAAAAAATATTAAAATCTATTCTATTTAGCGAATAATCATTTTGTCACACAGGAAAAATAAAAAAATGCATAGGTACTCGTCCAACATTTTCTCAGTGAACTTATTTCTCGTTTCACTTATTTCACGTACCTCTTTGTAGGATAAGAAACACAGAATAAGCCACTGCGTGTCAGGTATGACAGTTTGGTCAGCTATGACCGCCATCGGAGTCGGGTGTGACCCTTATGCCGACAGAACCCACTCCGCCCAGTGCCGGGAGCAGCTCAGCCAGGTGCTCTGTTCGTTAGCCTTCAGTCGCTCGGCCGAGTGTCTGCCCCCGTTTATGTGGAGCGAGGGACGACCGAGCGAGCTGGTCGCCCCTCGGGTCAGCGGTGGCAGTGACGGACTGACAGGATCCGTACCAGCAGCCAGCGGTGAGTGGAGGTCCGTACCAGCAGCCAGCGGTGAGTGGAGGTACGTACCAGCAGCCAGCGGTGAGTGGGAGTCCGTACCCGTGGCCAGCGGTGAGTGGAGGTCCGTACCAGCAGCAAGCGGTGAGTGGAGGTCCGTACCAGCAGCCAGCGGTGAGTGGAGGTCCGTACCAGCGGCCAGCGGTGAGTGGAGGTCCGTACCAGCAGCCAGCGGTGAGTGGAGGTCCGTACCAGCGGCCAGCGGTGAGTGGAGGTCCGTACCACCAGTCAGCGGTAGCGGTCGGGTCGCGGAAGGAGGGAGGGCAGAGAACTGGTATATGACGAGTATACTCGTACGGTGGGTATAGAGGAATGAGGTTATGAGAAGGAAGCGTCAAAAGATGGCAACGTTTCACTTGACTGCAGCGTAATTTTGTATTTTTAAGTAACTTCTTTCCGGAAGGTATAGGCTGTACCCCCGCGCGGTGGCATTGTTGACTCTGAAGACGCTGGAAAGCTACCGAAACATTGGCATGATGCCTCCGAGAAACGCATGATGCGCAAAATGCCTGATATCTGACGTTCCCTTCTATAATGTGCAGTCATCTGAATGGTGCACTCGCGCAGTAGTATACGGTAGGTATACGAAATAACGCAATGGTCATCCATTGATCTGCGGTACGAAGAACCTCCTTTATTCTTTTTTTCATTCTTTCAAGAGAAATTGAATGTATGCGCTAAGTGCGCTGCAGGATATTGCCGATTATCCCTTTCTCTCCCCTCTCACTTTCGCTCTCCGTCCAATATTGTTTTCGTGGAAGATCCAGCCAATATCTGTGCTGAGATTTGGTAAATACATACAAACGGTCGGTGCAGTCATTTTATTACAGTTCTTTGGAATTGACACATGTAAAGACGTCGCATTACCATTGGCCGGGAAGATTCTCCGATTGAGGTGTCAATAAGAACTCAGCAAAGCAAAGGACGCAGACACGCTACAGACCCCAGTGCATCCGGATGTGCCTAAAAATGATATGTGAATTGTGATATGATAAAGACGCGTGCCTGAATGATGTCTTTTCCTTATTTCTTATTAATATTGCGACGTGATCATTTGTACATCACAAGTAAGAAGGAAAGGTCTAGTTTGGATTTGTGGTGTGCGCCCGTATATGTTTGACTTTTTTCTGTTTCAGTGCGTCATTCTTCCTTAGTCCCTGTCAAGATCGGCTTTTACATTCTGGTCCACAGCGGTTTGGATGCAGTGGTTAGTGCTTTATAACTATAAGTTATAATCTTATATATCTGTCGGTGGATGTATGACGTAAATTATCGCATTTTATGCGTGTGATGCATCTTGGTATGTAAAAGGATGTAAAAGTAAATGAGAATCGACTTATCGTTTATCATATAATAAACAATGCAGCATAAATGCAATGAAAGTAACCGCTCTATCACTTGAGCCCGACTGTACTGCCCACCGTCAGCTGGACCTGCTGTATCACTGGACTGTATGTCTGTGTGCACCCCGGTAGCTGGAGCTGCTGTATCACTGCTGTATCACTTAACCATGTGTCTGTGTGTACAGTCGGGTACAGGTTGATGGTCCACTACTCTTTATCCACCGGGTTCCTATGGCTCAGCATTGGCAGCAGCCGCCTGGTACCGGTAGGCTGTGCCGCATGACCCGAAAGTTATGCGGCACAGTCTACCCACGCCGTTTGACATCGGCTCGGGTCGCCGGGTGGAGCGCTTTGTAGACCAGCTGTTGCGTCAGACCAGCGCGGGAGGGGAGAGGCTCGTCTCAGTGGTTGGCGTGGGCTGGCGAGTGGTGTGGGACGTGTTGGTGGACCATGGGGGCTGGTCGGGTGTGTGTGGTCACTTGCTGCATTGCACATTTTGCGTCGCTTAACAATTTCATTCCTGTCTTTGCTAAGCACAATGCACGAAAGACCCAGCGAGTATAATTTACTTTGCTTGTGCATTGTGCAATACGTGATTTGGCACGGTATCGAAGCAACCATAGGTCTTGTGCCTATGCATGATATTTAGGCAATACGTTTATGCAAATGGTAGATTGATGCTGGATGTCAATCGTATGCTAAATGTCGGCACGTTTTAAATGAATGAATGAATGAATGAATGAATGAATCAATCAATCAAACAATCAATCGGCATGTATAAAACCGTATAAATGGCTCGCAACCACTAATAGCAATCAAACCATCCTAACTCAGAAAAGCAGCCGGAGCCCTGATGAGGCTCGAACCGGGACTCCACGCTGTAAGTTTAGCAAATGATTCATCATCATTCCACCAAGCTAGAGTGACCGGCACCCGAACACACAAAAACATTCATTGACTTTGCGCCGACCTCCCGGCCCCGCCGCCCGCCCGGCCGGACTTTGCTCCAGCCGTAGCCACCATCCGGTGTAGCTCAGCGTAGAAGTGCTCGTCTGTGAAACTGACCGGTCGTGAGGGGCCCGGTTCGAAACGCTTCACATGCTGGATATTTATTTCTCGGTGAGAGGCTTCGCGTTTAGTCCACTTTTCAGAAAGATTATTTGGTGTCTGACCTGTTTTCTTTCTATTGCTGCAATACCTCACTTGGGAGATGGGTGGTTGACCCCCCCCCCCACGGGTTTTGTGAATATCTCTAAAACGATTTTTTGGTGGGGGGATACGATCGGTTCTATGCGACAAGTGACCACACACGCCCAGCCCCAGGTCCGCTCACTCCCTCCCCACATCACCCCCTCCCCACACCACACTCCAGCCCGCCTCATCCACCGAGCCGAGCCAAATCGACAGGCCTGACCCTTACCCCCCCCCCCCCCCCAGCCGGTGTGACGCTGCGTCCGGTCAAATCGCTCTACCAGGCGACCCGAGCCGGTGTCATACAGTGTGGGTAGGCTGTGCCGTTTCACTCTCGGGTCATGCGGCACAGCCTACCGGTACCAGGCGGCTGCTGCCAATGCTGAGCCATAGGAACCCGGTGGATAAAGAGTAGTGGACCATCAACCTGTACCCAACTGTACCTACCCTCGCCATTGCAGCTGGAGCTGCTCTCGCTGCTGTACGACCCGGCCCACCTGTTCGTGCTGCACGTGGACCGTCGCAGTGAGCCGCTGCACCGGCAGCTGGAGGCCGCGCTGGCCCGCCGGTACCCGGACAGGGACCGGCTCCGCCTGCTCCCCCGGCGCCGCTCCTTCGCCACCGACTGGGGCTCCGACAAGATCATCAGGGCCGAGCTCGAGGTCAGGTCAGACGTCAGGCGGACAGAACCCTCTGCTGAGCTAACCGTTCTGTCTGATATACGAATGCCATTTCAATGCTGGCAAAATCATACTTCAAAGTTATCATTACAGTTGAAGTTGGGTTCCTGACTGTAGTTGAATCTTTGACCAGTTTCCAAAGTTCTGTGTACATGAAGTGCGGTTTTGAGCGTTTTCAAGTTGCGTTCTTAAATTTATTTATCCTCCTTATTCAACAAATAATTTATTTCTGCTTGTTAATTTTTGTTTCCTAATCAACAATATTTTCTAACACAAAAAAGAAATATTTTCTAATACCCGACATTTTCACATTTAAACTTCTCCTTTTTAACATCCCCTCGTCTTTTTACCGCCACATGACTCCACTTCAATCACAAGTGCACTGACATTGCATATGGTTCTTCCACCGACGACTGGCTATGTGCTACTGCGACAGTGCCTCGCTGAACTGCTGCGGATGGGCCCGTGGGACTTTGCTGTTCCTCTGAGCGGCCGAGACCTGCCCCTGCGGTCGGCGGCTGACCTGGCGCTGACACTCGCGCCTTACCGGGGCAGGAACTTGCTCCATCCCGGCGAGAGAAAGTTCGTCACGCCAGAGGACGAGAACAGGGTGTTCGCAATGTAAGAAAAGAATCGATCACGAATGGGACGCCAGCGAAAGAAGCCAGACATTATTATTAAACGGCTCATATGTTTAGCAAATTTTCAACTTTGCGTTTATGCCTGCTTATTTATAAAGCTGTATGTGTGTGCGCAAATAGGCAATACAGGTTGGCTGGAGTTAAAATATTTAGTTGTTCTTACTGAGGCCTTGTGACGATGCATTTTTCGTGTTTGTCTCCCTCCAGGTACGGCTGTGACGGATTCATTTTCAATGTTTCTCGTCCTAGCGATGTCAGACTGGAGCTGAACATCCCCATCTCCGGCCAGTGAGTCCCAGGACAGGACGTTGTGTTGTGATCTGTGCCGCGTCGAGTCCCAGGACAGGCTGTGTTGTGATCTGTGCCGCGTCGGGTCACACAGTCATGCTTATGTTGCCGATAATCTTGTCAAATATTTTATATGCGCTTCTCAGATGTCCAGCGATCATGCACCAAAGCTGCGTGCACGACGTAATCAGCATTTTCTTCTTCTTCTTTTCTTCCCCCACCTCTCTCTCTCTCTCTCTCTCTCTCTCTCTCTCTCTCTCTCTCTCTCTCTCTCTCTCTCTCTCTCTCTCTCTTCTACCCCTTTTGCCCGTCCATCCCTCCCCCATCCTCCGTAACCGGAGGATTTCTGTGCCCCTCCATGACGCCGCGTAACCCTTGCTCCGCTGACCACTGACCAGTGACCATGGTCTCTCTGCACCCAGCTCCATGTGGAAGGCCCTGGATCGTCAGTTCGTCTTCTATCTGGTCCACGAGCTGCCCCACTCCGAGCTCGCTCGCTGGACGCTGCTGCAGCGGCTCATCATCATTCCGGACGAGAGTTTCTTTGCCACCGTTCTCATGAACTCGCCACACAGGTAGGATCGCGGAAATGAGACAATCTCCGAGCACCGGCCGCGGACGGAAATGGCTACGCTGATCTGTGCCGGACTTGGAGCTCGTTTCATGTCGCTTATCGACACTGTGACTTTCCGTTTGCTACTGGCACTTTCAATGATCATGAAGGTTATGAGTGACAGCACTTGGTCGTAGAAGTAACTGCTACAAGGCAGTTCTTCTCCTTCTCTTCCATTTCGGGGAAGAGAATATTAATTCTTTATCAGCAGAAAGGTAATTTATTTGTGTAATAAATAATAATGTACAATAATTGACGGATACTCGGCAACATGTCTCCACTTCCTTTGATGAACATTAATTACGATAGTCAGTTCTTGTGATGCGTACCTAATTACGAAGCCTCAGAGTGATGCTAACTCATTCTACTCTCCTCTGAGCCAAGTTAGTGTATGGTACTTATATGTGTGCCGGGTGGTCTAGCAAAAGCATGTTTCCGGTCGTGGTAGCAGATGTGCCGGCAAGTAGTTGGTTACATAACTCCTCATTAGGCGCATACACTAGTCACACGATCAGAGACAGTTGAACGAAAGCCGAGTGGCACATGCAGTTGCGCCTCGTGACTGTAGCGTCGACAGTATGCAAGAGAGGCTTTGTGTCAGCGTGCTGATCGGTACATATCTGATACTCGGTCTCAATTGTACGGGGTAGCAACATCCGGTAAACTGCACCTGGAGACACCAATTGAGCCGAAACTGTAGTTGCATTCATTAGACAATAGACAGGGCGTAGGGAAATCGGATACGGAACAGGAATCAGGATGCCGCGTAATGGTGCGGGAGGGGGAGGGTCATAGACACTGCAGCGAGGTCGAGCGGTGTCGATATCACTTATGTAGATCAATGAAAAATGCTCATAAGACTCCACGTATTGCGGATACGCGTGATGATTTATCAGAATCGTCCCTTTTTGATCTGAAGCGAGTTTACCTGATGATGCTATCGCGAAATTGGTTGAGAAGATGAATGATGATAACAACCGCATATCGAGTGTAAATATTCACTGGAAATGAAATAACATCAACCATTGAGTTGATAAGGTTATAATCCTAGATGGGCGGTATGAAACGACGAACTTAATATTCCTCTTATTGAAACAGAAAAGATACTGCGCCATTTATTATCTTATGCAACTCTGTTCTTTTATTAGGTCAATGGCTGAATTTACCTGTAGCTGCGAATGCTTAGCGAGTACGAAGCTGCGTTTGACGATGTAAACGATAATATAGCTCTCCTGAAAACGCACACGTAAGCTGCTCTTATTTATACACTTATGCAATATTTGATAAATGTTTTCATTAATCCCACAGAGGCACTATTCTCCGAGCCAAACTACATCATCCGAAGCGGTTTGAGGGCGAAAATTCGGACCGTCTCTGCCGACACCAGGATAAGGCCGAGTTCTGCGGAAAGGTCAGGTCATGACCTCGCGCGGGCTAGGACTATGATTCTGGGTCATTTCACAGGGACAAGGGAGGACGAGTAAGAACGTCTTGGGCGGCTCTCTGAGGTGTTTGATGCTATCTGGCTTATTTAATTGGGTCTCTGGCTCACGTGAACGAGCTCCTGGACTATCTACTCAGTCGTAAGTATCGTTGGGTAGTTTAGGTAGCTTCTCAGCCTTTCCTGAGGCTCATCCCACTCCACTATAATCCTCATCAGAAGGTGCTGCCGGGAGCGGGCTGCCTCCGTTCTGCGGCACCTCAGCCGCGTTAATTAGCGCCCCGGAACGGTCCGCACGCATTGCTGCCGCCATAATGTCGGTCTGCAGAGAGCACTGTGGCGGCACCGACAGAGATGGGCCGCCCCGCTGCGGGAGAGGGGGGGGGGGGCAGGGTGACCTCAACTGCCGGACTAGCTGTGGTCGTAGGTAAGCTATAGGTAAACCAAAGAGATCTTACATAAGTTATCGATATAGGATATATAATATACAACTGACATTTAATATCTCTAAGGATGTAACTATCTTCTACCATCCGATGAGCTGAGCAGCATTGTGCAGGCGTCATAGGATGGATATTGGCTCTCTTTTCATCGGTAAATGGATTTGTGATATGTTGCGTAAGCTCTGTGCGTCCTCGGCGATTATTTGTTGTGCGTATTGTGAATGGCTGACTTCTTTTCAGAGGCTTTCATGTACATCGTCCAAATGGTGTGTCTGACTATTTGTGTGCCCATCCGTCTGTTTATCTTTCTAGTTGAGGTTTATTTGCCATTGGGTCCACAGTGCAGGGATATTTCTATCTCGCACTCCTCTGAGATGTAGAGATAAGAATTTGTTATATCTGCATCCCTCTGAGATGCAAAGATAAGGTCTCGAGGGTTCATAGCGAAAAATCAAGAGTTCAAGTGATGATGGGTCAATAACCAAACGACATTTTAAATGGTTGTTTATGGATGAAACTTATGAAATAAGAACAAACTACTCTGAATCTATTTTTACATAGATGAATGCATTTAAATATAATATTTTATTAAATAATAATAAACCTCAACATAGAAAGATATAGGATTCCTCATGGCTCACTCGTGGAAGATCGGATATCTTTTCCTCGCGTGTTACAGAAAAACCTCGCTCCTTCGTCGCTCGGTTTTTCAGTAACCCGCTTGGAAAAGATATCCTTATCTTCCACTCGGAGCCATGAAGAATCCTCTATATCTCACCAAACGACGTCTTTTCTTGTATTTTGCATCGGTGTCCGTCTTCCAGAAATGAGAAAACGTATCATTTATTATCTGTTCGATACGCCTTGTGCGAATGCCAAGGCAAAAACGATTACAACAAAGTACATCACGACTGAATTTCTTTTCTGAGCTGTTTTTTTTTTAGTAGGGCTAAGCACCCCCAGAGAACCAATGCAGTATTGGCATATATCTGTATCTTTCTAATAGCAGCACATACTTACAGCATATACTTACTGTACGACTTATGACTTTTAACAAGTATGAAGTGTAAGACCACTACCCTCAGGGCCCGGCCCTAATTCAGGAGCGGGACATCGGCCACATACAGAGACTCTCCTCACGGTTCTTCTTTGCCCGGAAATTCTCACCGGACGTGAGGGACCCGGCACGCGGCAGGTTCCGCGCCGCCTTCAGCCGGCCCTACCACCAGACCGTGCGGCACGTGCTGGCCCCGTGGCTGGAGAGGTGGGTCCATGGCACGTGCTGACTGGTAACGGATCTCGAGTGACTGACCTATCGGTCACACATGGTAACTCAGTGACGTACATAAATTGCGTTTGTTTTGGATCTGCTCATTGAAGCTGGTAACCGAAACGGCTCCAACTGTTGCATATTGACGTTGCTTGACTCTCCCTTAGATACGTGGTGAGGTTGAGTTTGAGCTGGTTGAAAATAGCCAGTGAATTTCAAGAAGACGAGGTTAAATGGAAACAGATTCAGGTATGGAAGGTCACGTTTCGAATAAGTGGTTTTTGTTTCTCTTGCATTTCTATAACAGCCCAGCAAACAATGTAACCGATCTCCATTATGCTTTATGTTCATAATGGCATCGTAAAGTGAACTGTAGGCTAGATGGTTATATAATAAGCACGCATCTTGGGTATGCGTAGGTGTCACAGATATTACCGCCGTTCTAGTCTTTACGCTGTCGGGATCATCTAAAGCTCTGCTCTGCTTCCATTACTCCTTTCATGGAAGAACTGCGCCACGTGTGGTGATGACGCACTGTTCCGACCCAATGGTCTGTTCTCAGATTGTGCCCCGTCTGGATGCCGCTTCGGACTGTTGTGCCGTGCATCACCTTCGCGAGAACGCAGCGGCAGTGACGTACGCCTACATTGTGGAATTCTCGCTGGTAAGAACTCGATATTGGGACACTGGCTGGGGTCCGACCAACAATAACCGGCACAATTACCCTACTTAGATCACAAACGGATGCTGCCTTGGCGAAAGGTCAACGCATAATTAGACGTTCAGTTATCGAGAACTCCAATCGTACGCTGTATCGAGCAAGTTTCCGATGAGACCATGCGCGTCATGAATGAGAAATATCGAGGTGCATTGAAAATTAATGCGATTCCGATAAACTCACCGCCTTTACAAGCAAACGGTAATGAACTATTGTTTCTCTTATGAAACGCACTATAAAAGCATAACTGTATGTATAATGCACCATAAGTGGATTAAAGAAATCCGAATCGTATACGAACATTCCTGCGTTTTCTCAAACAATAGACGCGTTTATGTTCGGAACACGCATTCTCGGGTAAACACCACGGCTCAGTTAACTAATGTATTGATCTGTATACATCGGCTCATTACACGCTAATACCCTGAATGCCCATCAGGCCGGACCTCTTGTCCGCCACCCCATCCCATAGCCCCTCTTGGTGAGCCAACCGCTCAGCCCCGAGCTCCACCCGCCGAGCCACCCGCTCAGCGACTGCCCGCCGCCGTTTTTTGTTTTGTTGGGTTAGGCCCTTTCGGTCGTCAAGACCATTGCAGAGCCGGAAGGATGATAGGAATTAGGGGGAGACATTGGTCTGGGCAGGCACCCTAGTGAGTCGCCGGGGCTGAGCCCGTCCAGAGGACAGGCCACCCAGCCCCAAGGCACTCACTGCACCCGGCTACGGGGTGCGCTCCCTCGGGAGCAGCGGTGCCGCTCCAAGGGAGCAGCCCGCATGAGATAAAGTTGCCTGTCCAGCCCGGAGGGGGGTTGCGGTGTGGAGGAGAAGGATTTCTGTATCCTGAGGATAGAAGCACCGATGCACCGCATTATATAGGGGGGCTGGGCGCCCGCCGACCAATCAGCGGCCGCCACGTCACCTACGTCACCAGCCGGCCGGGACTGCAGGTTGCAGCGCCGGCGCATGCTGCCGGCGGCCGATACGAACGGCCGCCGCTCCCCAACACACCCCCCCCCCCCCCCCCTACACAAGAGAGGTGTACGACCGCTCACATTTTACAAGTATGTACAACACTTCGCAACGACACAGTGCACGATACACTACCGCGCCCGCGATTCGCGCAGTTCAGGGACCCCCACCTGACACTGTACAGGGGCAGCCGCGCCGCATTCGGTACGGCGCGGACGGGCCGAGGGCGGTAGGAGGCGACTCAGGCCTCGCGCCGCGATCTGGGTGATGCCGCGCGCACCACGCGGCGGCCACCTCTCGCGGCAAACCGCACGTCTGTCCATCATACGGCGTCAGGTGGTCGTGGTGCCACATCTTGGTTTTACCGACGCCGTCCCGCACTCGGTAGGTGGCTCCTCTTCCTTCTCTTCTTCCGTGGCCCCACGGGCCCTTGTGCCGCAGGCCGAACTTTGGCTGCCCTCCAGCTGCCGCTCGGAAGTCGCGCTCGTTACCGGCTACGCGCTCGAAGGGGTGTGTGGCCGGCTTGTTCTGCACCGGGGCCCTTGGAGGTGGAGTGGGCCTTTTCCACCTCACCACTCGATCATTCTGACCTCCAGAGTCCAAGGCCCTGCCCCACTTTCCCAGCACCGAGGTGTTGCAAGGCGTCTGATCGCTGAGGCGCTGTCGGGCGTGATTGTGCGGTGGGCTCTCTTCTTGTGCCTTCTGCTTGCCGCTCCGCTCCACCGGACTAGCGTCCCTTGCGTCGCCGTCGACACCTGGACGGCTGATGGCGCGTGCTTCCCCGGGCGACCCGCCCTCGCGGCGGCTCGCGCTCTCCGCCTCAGGGCGTATTTTAACATGTTAACTGGGTCGGCAATTGCCGACCCAGTCACGGAGAATGCCGACCCAGTGACAGCCGTTTGCCGACCCAGTTGCCGCCCCCTCTAGGATGCAGCACGCACATGCAGGCTAGGTGCCGTCATTCATAGTGAGGCTGCTGCCCTCCGAAATGATAATGCCGCCTCTTAAAGTGAAGCAGCCGTCTATAGAAAGTGATGATCCCGCAACTCAATGTGACAGTGCCGCCCCTAAATCTGTTAGTAGCCCCACTCAATGTACCTAATGGTGCCGCCCTTCTAAGCATCTGTGGAGCCCCGCAATGTGATGATACCGCCCCTCAAGAAGATGATGCCGCCCCTTTCAGTATCGGTGGCGCCCCTCAATGTGATGGTGCCGCCCTCAAAGTGCCGGTGGCGCCCCTGAATGTGATGGTGCTGCCCGCCAACGAGTCGATGGCGCCCCTCAAAATGATGCTGCCGCCCCTTAAAGTGTTGGCGCCGCCCCTTATAGTGTCAGTGACGCCCTTCGAAGTGTCGGAGGAACCCACCAATATAATGGTGCCGCCCCTCTAGATATCCACATAGCCCCTCATTGTGATAGAGCCGCCCCTCAAGCAGATGATGCCGCCCCTCAAGAAGATGATGCCGCCCCTGAATGTGATGGTGCTGCCCGCCAACGAGTCGGTGGCGCCCCTAAAAATGATGCTGCCGCCCCTTAAAGTGTTAGTGCCGCCCCTTATAGTGTCAGTGACGCTCTACGGAGTGTCAGAGGAACCCACCAATATAATGGTGCCGCCCCTCTAGGTATCCACATAGCCCCTCATTGTGATGGAGCTGCCCCTCAAGCAGATGATGCCGCCCCTCAAGAAGATGATGCCGCCCCTTTCAGCATCGGTGGCGCCCCTCAATGTGATGGTGCCTCCCTCAAAGTGCCAGTGACGCCCCTAAATGTGATGGTGTCTCCTGTCAACGAGTCTGTGGCGGCCTTCAAAATGATGCCGCCCCTAAAAGTGCTGGTGCCGCCCCTTACAGTGTCAGTGGCGCCCTTCAAAGTTTTGGAGGAACTCATCAATACAATGTTGCCGCCCTCTAACTTTCTGTAACGTCCCTCCATATACATAATGGTGCCGCTTCTCAAACCATCCGTGGCGCCCCTCAAAGTGATGGTGCCGCCCATTACAGTGTCGGTGGTGTCTCCTCAAAAGTCAAGGTGCCGCCTCTCAAAGAAATGCTGGTGTCCCTCGAAGTGTCGGAGGCGCTCCTGAATGTCATGTTGCCGCCCCTCAAACCTTCCGTAACACCCCTCAACGTCATGGTGCCGCCCCCCAATGTCTCACGGCGCCCTTAAATGTGATAGAAGCGCCGGTCAAAGTGATGACTGTGCTCCTGGCAGTATCGGTGGCGCCCCGAACAGTATCGGTGGTGCCCCTCAAAGTGATGATGTCACCCTCAAACAAACGGTGGCGCCCTTCGAAGTATCGGAGTCCCTAAATATCATACCTATTGCCGCCCATTAACGATCTGTAGCGCCCCTCCATATGATGGAACCGCCCCTTAAAGTATCCGCGGCGGTCCTTAACCCTCGCCGGACCTATTGGTTTTCTACATACGCGCCGGCCGAGGGGGGGGGGGCGAGTACACCCCCCCCCCTCGCCGTTTCGCCCCTGGTGGAGCTAGCGCGTCGCGGAAAAAACGAGCGTGTGCGCCGTTACGAGACGCAGAGATTGGTACCCGATTTTAAGGTCCTAGGTCAACCGGTGACCTCTGAGGTCAGGTCAAGTGCCCCAAGGCACAGTTCAGTTTTTGGCGAATAACTTCGCAAAAAACGGCCGCAGCGCCGCGATTTTGGCAGCATCGTGTTTGCCTTGCTCAGGCGCGTCGAATGATATACTTTTTGTTCGGGTCAGGTCAACTTGGGGTGTTGACCTCAGGTCAAGGTCAGGTCAGCACCCCCAGGTCACGAAGTTGGTCGAAAGAGGTCATGTCGCATATCATTCGATTCGGCAGGTCTTCCTGAGTCAATTGGTGGCTTTCCCGACTCGCTAGCTCAATTTGATCAAGAGTTATTGACGAAAAACTAATATGACCTTGATGACGTCATAAATGACGTCACGCAAGGTCAACATTGCAAAAGTGACGCATCTAACCTTGCAAGGAGTGCATCAAATCACGATTCTGTGTGCTTGAGATAGTTGGAGATCGTTCCCGGCGCCAGAATAGCAGTTTTCATTTTTCCCCATTGACTTATAATGGTGAGGTCACGAAAATGACCTGACCTCATATAACCTTTAGGAAAAATCCGAGATATACAAGTTGTGAGACTCATAATGGATACTAGATCCTGCAAGTTTCATTTCCCTGTGACATCTCCTCTGGCAGTGAGGGTGTTGCGAAGTTGCGACATCTGAAGACCGTGCAGAGGTTCACTTATGACGTCATAGGTCAGTGACCTGACCTGACCCAAAAATGCGGTTGGTGTCAAAAGATTCAGCTTGAATCAAAGGTCAGGTATGCCAAGTTCCAGCTCTCTATCGCCAGCGTTTTGGAGCTATCGCGAAAAAACCCTATGGGGGGGGGGGCACCCCCACCCCCTCGGCCGGCGAGGGTTAAAGTTACAGTGCCGCCCCTTACAATGTGGTGGCGTCCTCAAAATAAAAGTGATGTTGCCCCCCTCCCCCCCGAGTAATGTTGGCGTCTCTTCTTTAAGTATCGGAGGCGCTCCTCATTGTCATTTTGCCCCACATCACTGCACACTTGGCGCCCTTCAATGTAATGGTGCCACCCCCAACGCTCAAAGAGATAATTGCGCTTCTCACAGTGTCGGTGGTTACCCTCAAAGTGGTTTAAGTGCCCTAAAAAAGTTGGTGGAGCGCCTCAAAATGATGCTGTCGTCCATTAGCATATCTGCAGCGCCCCCAAAATGATAGTGCCTTCCCTTAACCAGCGCCGGGCTGAGGTTTGAACCCCCCTCCCGACCCCTATAACTTGGCTACTGGGCCACGTAGCGACACGCGGTAAGCGGCATTCGAAAGAGTGTCAAAAACTACTTGGGTTAGTTGGTTAACCGTACTTTGGTTAGGTCAAGTCAAATGTCAAATATCAGGTGACCAGAGGTCATCAAAGGTGAAATGTGGGTGAAATGTTGTCTGTTTCAACATTTATTGACAAACTGGCGCATAACTCGGGGAAGAATAGAACTACAGCACCGCGAAAAAAGCGCATTCGATAGCTCGTCAACGTTACTATAAAGTCCTCAGACTTGACCTAACATCAACGGCTTAACCTCCAGAACACAACTAGTTTAACCCGTGCCGGGCCGGGGAGGGTTGAGTGGACAGTGGACCCCCCTCCGCCCCTCTACTGAGCTGTTTTAATGAGGAACCTTTTTACTGTAATAATTATTGACTCACGAAAGTTATGACATTGTTTTTTCAGTACTGTGCTCCTCTCGTCGAGATGCGTCGAATGAACTATAATTTGACATTCAAATGTCATTTGGGAAATTTGAGCTCAGGTCCAGGTCATGACCTGACTGGTAAAGGTCATGTTGCATATCAGTCGATTTGTATCGTCAAACTGAAATCATCTAAGGTGTTTTCATCGCTCAGGCATGTCGCATGTCTCTATCAGAAGTTATTGAAAAAAACTGCTGGAGGCCTTCCATGACCTGACATGACCTCAAGGACATAACGAGGGGTCGTGGGTGGCAATTTTCCGATTAAGTGTGTCATTTTCAATTGTTTTATGATGTTTAAATTCGTTAACTTTGACATTTGTCTACCTATAAAAAGAGGCATGCATGCCCTGATTTTCTCCCATTTCCTTATACCTAATGGAAGGGTCGCAAAATTGTCCTTACCTTTGGTCAAAGACATAGCAATTTCGAGACTTACATTTTATATATACAGTTACACACTGTTTGTCTTATCAATCGCTGAAGTTATAAAGGGATCGTTCAGTCGGTGTACTATCTATGGTGAGCATTTGCCTGTTCCGTAGCTCAGTTGGTAGAGCACCGGACTCCCCGCATTGTCTTCGCTTGCGTTTTGTTCGCTGGCCGAGCCGGAGAGAAAGTTACCGAGTGAAGGTAATTCAAATTTCAAAAACTCAATGAAAATATCACTGGGGACACGAAAATATTTGAGTAGGTAGGTATACCATTCATTAACTTGGGGGGGGGGGAGGGGGATGAACGTATCGTTGCAATACGCTGTTCATTACGCGAGTAACTAATGAATAAAAAATGTATGAGTTTATCCTTACTCCACCCGCCCTCCCTCTCCATAAAGAAGAGAGTTAATTGTGTTGCATTTTGTTTATATGCAGAAAAATAGAGGCGTCAAAGGATATGACTGAATATCAGCGACCCTTGCTGTGTAAGCAATGGGGCTTGCAATGGGGTATGACAAGTGGGGGTAATGGCCCCGTCCAGCGCCCATAAAGTGGGCACCACTCGTTCGACCTGCCGACCACTGTTCTAGAGCCATAAAACACCGTGAATGTTTTAAGCTTGACGATACGGATCGACTGGTATGCAACATGTTTTATTTCTGGTGAGGTCATGAACTTGACCTCAGGTAAATTTTTTAAAATAATTTTTGTAAAGTCAAATTATGGTTCATTTGTCGAATTATGACGAGAGAAATACTATATCCCGGAAAAATAAACGTAATACCGCTGAGCATAGGTAGGTTGAATCTGAAATCATTACTTAGAAAAAGTTATAAAAGAACCGTCGAACGTGTCTTTTTTGGTCATTAAATATCAGTAGGTATGCCGCCCCCCTCAGATGCCAAGTGCCGCCCCTATGAGTGCAAAATGCCGCCCCTAATTGTGATTGCCGACCCAGTGAAAATCCCTTAAAATACGCCCTGCTCCGCCTCCAACCCGTTTGAGGTCACCGTGTCCTCGACGCAGCCGCTGCTGGGCTGCCCGCCCCCGCATTGGCTCGTCCCGGACCCGTCGCGCTCGACCGGGTCCCCGCATGGGGCCACTGGGGCTGGCCAGTGTCGCCATCGGTCCAGTCCTGCTGACTTGAAGACGGCCCGAGCGGTGCAAGTCACCAGGGCCACTGCCCGCGCGCAAACCTGTGCGCACTGCCTTGCCACGCCAGTGTTCGAGGCCCCCGATCGCTCGCGATGCCCGAGCTTGTCGAGCTGAGGTCGGGATGCGGGCGGAGCCCCGCTGCCCGCCGGCTATGATCGTATCGTGCACACGAACGACGGTGTAGGAGGGCACCCTTGCCGCTGTCCTGTCGCGCTACAATCCCTCGATTGTGTGGGCTGCCCTGCCGTGGGGGTCCCGTTGAGGGCAGGTGGGTCAGCCACCCTCCGCTGCCACTCACGGTCGCTCCCCGCTGCCTGTGTGCCTCCCCGCCGCCGGTGCCCCATGTGTACCGTTGGGCCCTCCATCGACGGGATATCGGACGTGCCTACGGCCGCAGTCGCCGGGGCAGGCGGGCGTCCCGCCCATCGCTGGCCCCCACGGCCGCACTGGTGACAGATAGGCGTCCATCCGCCGGACTCCTCAGACGGACCACGGGGGCGCTCCGCCCACTCCAGGCCCGCCTGCTGATAACCGGGTGTGACGAACCGACCCACCTGCTCGTTTGCGTGTGTGTGCCGCGCCGGACATTTGCGGACCAAGTGGTCGGGGCTGTTGCAAAAGAAACAGCGGCGCCCGCTACCCCGCCTGTTCGGGTTTGGTGGCCCTCGTTGGGGGTTCCTCGCCCCTGTCCCGTGCCCCGTGCGGTAGGCGTCCCGCCTTCCCGCCGTCTCAAGGGTTTGCAGAGCGCGCTGCAGCTCTCCAATTAGCCTCTCCAGCGCGTCCAGCCGCGCAGTGCCGGGCGCGCCTCGGTCTTGCACCGCCAACGCCTCGCCCTCGCTGGGCGGGCGCATTGCTCGGAGTGCGTCCTGCTGCCTTTCGAATTTATCGGCGACCTTCACGGCTTCGATGAGGCTGGCCGGGTCCTTCGTCAGCACCCGCACCCGCAGCTGCTCCTCACGGAGGCCGCATACGAAGCGGCTGACGACGGTCGCTTCCACGGACGGGTCGCCGGCTCTCGCCCCTGGGTATGCCTCCCGGCCTGCCTGGCGCACCCTGTCGGCGAAATCGCGTGTCGCCTCACCGGGCTGCTGTCGGATGCTCGCTAGTTCAGCGTGCACCTGCATCGCGTTCTTTGCTGTGCCGAAACGGGCTTCCAACGCGGCCACCGTTTGCTGCAGGTTGCCTTGAACATCCTTCGACAGCGAGGCGAAGTAGTCCAGGGCGCCATCTTGAAGCAGGCTGACCAGGCCCCGCTGCCGACTCTCCTCCGAGAACGTGACCGTCTTCGCCCGGAACCGCCGGTACCACCGACCCCATGATTGATTATTTACCCCCGTGAAATTTTCAAAGTTAGCTAAAAATAAAAGTTCTCTCTCCATGTTACGTTACTCTACTGAGCCGATTCAAAATGAAATAAAAATAAAAATTTACTTTAAATGGTGCAACCCAACGAATGCGTGTCCGCTAGTGTCCGAACCGTCCTACCGACCGCGCCAGTTGTTCGGAACACGCATTCTCGGGTAAACACCACGGCTCAGTTAACTAATGTATTGATCTGTATACATCGGCTCATTACACGCTAATACCCTGAATGCCCATCAGGCCGGACCTCTTGTCCGCCACCCCATCCCAGAGCCCCTCTTGGTGAGCCAACCGCTCAGCCCCGAGCTCCACCCGCCGAGCCACCCCAACATTTACATAGGGTTTGTTGCAAGCTTATATCTCCGTTCGTGATGTTGCAAAAGATGCCAATGGTGCTGAACAATTTACAAAATGATCCCCTCTAAATATTTGAAGACCACTGCATCGAAATTATCGCCAAATTAACGAGCTAGAGCCTCGTCAAATATGCTATGTAAACCGGGTTAATGTGTTCTCCGTCCAGCTTTACATTTCTCAGCTAGCTGATTCAGCCGGATGCAGGATATTTTGCACAAGTGCCAGTGTCAGAGGTCCCACCCCGCTGCGCTAACTGCACCGTCCTCTGTGCGGCAGCGCGGCCGCTGGTTCCGGTCGCGGGTGCGGGTGGCGGCGCCGCTCGCCTGTTTCCCTACCGGCCACCTGCGCAGTATGCGGGTGCGCAGTGACCCTCCCCAGGACAGCCGCTGGTTCGGCGCCCGGCTGAACCCGCCGGTGCCGTACCTGCTGGTCGGCCCGGCGGACCTGCTGGTCGAGCTGTGGTTCCACCTGCCGCCACGCTGGACGGCCGACCAGTACTCGGCCTGCGACGCCCAGCCGCACGGAGACACGCTCTCCTTCCCCGGTCTGAGTCTGAGTGGGGGCAGCGAGCCGCGGCCGGTCACAGTGCGACTGGAACTCTGGGAGGGCCAGCACACCCTCAGGTGAGTGGGTGATGAACGAACCGCAGGTGATACCGAACTACCACATTCGTAACAGCAATATAGACCATCGTTATTTCTACTGAACGTAGGACGAATCATAGTGTGACAAGCAACATATTGGGCTTAAAAGGAACTGCTGAAATACCGGATGTAAACATGCGCCATCGTATAGCAATACAATCACTCGTTGCTCCTTACAGCGTTTTGTTCAACTCAACTGAAATAAGCTTTCCGGATAAATACCAAAACTTGAATTGAAAACATGTTTACTTCATGCTGTTGACTTTTATAGAAGCCTTTGTGAACAGAAAAAAAAACAGTTCGGTTTAGAGTATTTTTCATTTCTAGGTACTGCTCCATTCAGCATCGGTTGTGTGTAAGTCTGCTTCAATACCAAACTGATTCAGACTTCCAACTACTCTCTCCCTCTCTCTCTCTCTCTCTCTCCCTCTCTGATTTCAGCTGCTCTCGCCGTGAGGTGATCCACTGGACCGACTCCCCTGCCGACCCGTCCACCGGCCCGCCGCCGCCGCCGCGCCGCCCGTCCCATCACGAGCTGAGCCGAGTCGTGAATGTGTCACTGAGCTGTGGCCACCTCGGCCCCGGTCGGCGCACACTGCGCCTGTACGACGTGAGTATAAACTGCATCCCGGCCCGATATTGACGGCACCGCCAGCCGGCAAGGCCGCTGTAGAATGGCGATGTTCGAGACCGTGCGCCGAACATAGACCCCCGACGGGCTCTAAGATCGTCGACTTTCCTCTCAGAGTCCAGAGAAGCGGGAGCTTCTATGACCGCCTGCTGAGTTTCAGAACTTATCAACTTTGAGCGACCAGGCGGTCTTGCTTGCATCGACTGATGGCGGAGGATAGTTTTAGTCTTGGATAAGCTATTGTGCGTCGGTCGGACACAAAGGCCGTCCTTTGCATATCGGTTATTACAGGCACGCTTTATGTTGAAAACAGGAGACCGTGGTAGACTGCATCTGAACGAATGAATACCGAATTAAAATAGGGGGCAAAATGGACAGGTGCTGTTTAAAGCTCAACCGGATGTGTTCATTAGTCATTCCACAAATGATGCTGAGTCTCCCAGCACCGATGAGCTCGTGGTACCTAACATGTTTAGGAGAAGTTATGCTGCAGATGCCACTTTGGACCGTCTCAGTCAGGTATCGCCACCCACATAGTCCGAAGCGGAGTTCAGTCAATCAGTACCTCTAAATATAGTCGTATTTTGTGTCTACGGCATTCCAAGACACATAATTGTAACTTTTTTTAGTTTACAGTCAGTACCACCAGTATAACGCCTTTTGGGGCGACTAACGGAGCGAGCGAGAGGGTGGGCCTTGCACGTGCGAAATTTCGAGGGGGTACCTCCAACTAACTTGTGCACGGCACCTTACTAACCAGTCTCTAGCGATGTGCCAAATTTGAGCACAATCGACCCAGCCGTTCTCGAGATCTGGAAGCGGCACCCTGCACGTGCGCACGTGCAAAATGGGTCCCAACTGACTTGTGCACGGCACCCTACTAACTGGTCCCTAACCGTGTACCAAATTTGAGCGCCATCGGTCCAGCCGTTCTCGAGATCTGGAAACGCCCCCTGCACGTGCGCACGTGCAGCAGCACCCCAACTCTGGCACATGGATGTGCAGTGCCTGGTGGGTGTCTACCTACATGCCAACTTTCAGCGCAATCGGCCAAGTAGTTACCGAGATATTGCCACAATTACAAAACTGACACCTCTTCGTTTTGCACGTGGCACGTGCATAAGGGGTCACCCACATGCATCGGGAATAGTCCAATACTTGGTAGAAGGAATGAAGCTACCCTACAAAAATTACCGCGTGTAAATCGGTCAAGTGGTTGCTGAGATATAAGCCTCGCAAAAGCGTCCGCACGGCCGGCCGGCCGGCCGGCCGCTCATACTCGGAAATTTCCGTTAACCCTCGCCCGCACATGCCATTTTCCCATCCTAGAACGCACATGGCGGGGGGGTGGTTGCCACCCCCCGCGCCATTTCGTTCCTGTTGGAGATAGAGCTTAGCGGTAAAGACCAAAAAGATTCTTTGGGAAGAGACGAATCCAATGATATCCAGTTTTACCTTCTCAGGTCAGTCATTGACCTTCCAGGTCAGGTCAAACTAAAAAATGTTGCTGTTTTGGGTCACCGTTGGATATCAAGTGCGCTGCTTATCATATACCGATGACGACGCCGTTTTCTGGTGCCAAGCCAGCTAGAACCTCTTTGTCACTCTACCCGACCAGGTTTTTGCTGCTGAGGTCATTTCAGGTCAAGTTAGGTCAAGGTCAATTATATGTGTTTGTATGTCTGTGTGTGTCTGTGTGTATACTGATGTGTGCACCGATTGTTTATGTGTCCATATTACATGAAATCATGATCTGAGAAGCTTTTACCAAAAATGTAGCCAAAAAACTTCACAAAAAGTAATTTCCGCTTGCCTAAAACGCAATTATCTTAGATGACCTAGGTTGACCTTGACCTTGACCTTGACATCTGAACATCGTCGAACAACATGTTCCATGATAGGTGGGAGGTAAGACTGGCAAAAAAGGCCGAAATCAAGGTGTCAAAAGCTCACAAGGCCCATAGCCAACGCAAGATGTTGAGAATTGGCCATTTGGGTCATGACATGACCTGAAAACAAGGTCATATCTCCGAAACAAAAAACCACAGAAACTTGAAATTTTCAGTGGACATCAAGAAAGGATAGAAGAGCAGCTATACGAAAAATCAGCCTTCTAGCTCTAAAAATGTTGAGTGCAGAGCAGAAAGACTACCTGGGGGGGGGTGGCAACCCCCCCCCCCCCCATGTGCGGGCGAGGGTTAATCTAAGGAAAGACTACGCTCGCTTCGCTCGCTCCGTAATTAAACGGGAGAAGAGTAGCGAAAAGCTTAGGCGCCAGGGCCAACATTTACTAGCCTGTGCTCCATTGCTATTTATTATAGGCATAGGTAAATGCAATCGGTTGTTGAATCACCAGTCGCTCTAAACTTCATACATCATAGCATAACCGGATATTCCTTGAAGAGTGGTGCGGGTCTTCACTTCACTACATAGTGTCAGTTATTACCGACAGATGGCACAGTCGTCTGACGCCTGAATGATGCTGTGCCGCACGACTTGAATTATGCTGTGCCGCATGGCATAAAGTTCATATATCGGCCCATACATGGGTTAGAAGCCAGCGCCTGCCGCATGCTGTGCCGCATAACCACTCTTGAGTCTTGCACACACGGCCTTTAAAAATTTATTATTGCCAAAATAATAATGAGTATTTGAGACTTGACTTGAGTCAGGCGATGCAGCTGGGGTCCATGGTATTTTTTTTATAGCAATTTTCAACCCAACCGAAATGAATATTTTTTCCCCAATTGGTCCTGTGGACACCGTTGCCAGCCCGCCCTGATAGGTATGGTACCTACTTACAGGCCCTGCCGATCGTCCCTTCCCTACAGAACACGGCTACCGACCCGCACTGGTACGAAGTGCCCCTGCTGGTGCCTGATTGTCCTTCCCCAGGACACGGCTACCGACCCGCACTGGTACGAGGTGCCCCTGCTGTTCACCTCGTCCTGTCCCCCGCAGGACTCGGCTACCGACCCGCACTGGTACGAGGTGCCCCTGCTGTTCGTCAGCTGGTACTCTGAACCCGAGGAGGGCAGCAGCGGCGACTTCTGGCGGGTCGAAGACGCCGCCCCGCTGGACGAACTCACCCCAGAGAGCCCGCCCGCTACCGACACGTGAGTTGATCGCAGCTTTCTGGAGTGGTCTGTTTAAATAGTCTCCGGCGGTCGGTGACGGTACACTTTGGCTAACTTTTGTATCCCTATGTAGGTACGTTGAGCCTCTGAGGACACTTACATATCATTAAACGTGTAAAAATAAAGAGCAACCATAGGCAGGCACTGTCGACTCCCGCACGGCATCAAAGAAGCTTCCCATTGCTCGCGGTTACACTAAGTACTAATTAGCATGGCTGCAGGACTGAGCTATTGCTAAAAACGGCAAGCGGTGGTAGGCGGCTCGAAATACCCCACCCCGACTAGCTCAGGAGTCCTGAATTGTCGTTTGACGAATATCGCGTAGCTCGTAAGACAAGCGCGGCTATAAACATCATGAGACATTAAATACGTTTGCTTCCTTCTCCAGGCCTCCAGTTCGACACGACGCAAACGAACTGTGAACAAAACTATGTCTCATCGAAGACAAGAGGAGTCGCAAGTGGAGTCGACCCAATTAGGACAGAGCCTCATTAGCCTCAATCAGCATTAGATGAACGATATCAGTGGGGATGAGCTTTTGGCTCCGCGATGTCGAGTAGTGGTCGAAACACGCTAGTCCCATCGAGCGTAATGATTCTAAACGGGTAGCATGTGACTTGGCAACGCGATACAAGTACTCATTTGCCTTATTCGATGTGATACCAACCTTACTAGTCCATAAGCAGGGTTCGATGTTCGTCAGTGTCGTATTTTTGTTATCCGTTGTACTGTTTGCATGTATTGGGTCCATAGCCATTGCTGTTTGTGTATTGCGTAATCTTGGCCATTTAACTTCGTGCTAACATAACGTCCGCCATATAACACTCGTCTCAAGGTGCCTTGTGGTCCCCGCGGTACGGTACCGCACGGCAAAGAGCCAAATTACATTTTGTAATTGATGATCGTGGAAATAAAGTGGAACGGTATCATACGAATGTCATATCGGTCGGTTCATCGCATGGCTTAGTTGGTAGAGCAGCAGACTCCGACTGGCGAGGGCCTCGGTTCAAGCCCCTCCGCCGCTCGATATTTGCACCCAACACTGGACAAGTAACCCTATCCGAGCATGCACATAAACATCGACAGCTCAAAACATACGTAAATTTTATTTCAACATGACAACGAAGACAATGGTAGGAGCCGGCGCCTGTGCGTTCCGAGCGTCTGGGAGTCCTCTGCCGCTCCTATCCCGGGGAACTGGCTGGCTGCCTACAGAGCCCCACTGCCCTACAACAAGAGCACCCTCCTACACAGGGGCGTGCCGATAAACTCTGCACCTTTGATCAAAACACAACACATGATAAACGCTGTTAGGAATCGCAACAGGTTATAGCTGACTACAGGCGCTGCTAGGCGCGGTCTCTCTCTCTCTCTCTCTCTCTCTCTCTCTCTCTCTCTCTCTCTCTCTCTCTCTCTCTCTCTCTCTCTCTCTCTCTCCACACCTGTCCTCTGAGCGGGCCCCCGACGGACAGATGTCGGGCGTATCTGCGCCGGCGGAGGGCCCGCTCGGCCGGTGTCAGTAGGCCGGAGAGCGGAGCGGCTCACCTCCTTCGGTTCACCAGCCGGATAGACGGCGATCGCTCCGTCCCCGGCTACAGACGACGGGACGGACACAGTCCTCACACCGCTCAGAGAGGCCACACAACACACCGCGCGGTAACAACGAGACATCCGCATCACTAAATAACAACGCACTCGTACACACCATCATCCAGTGGCAACACATGTCATAGAATCCTCTTACAGGCCCGTAACAACGCACTGATTGGCCTCGCTCTCAAAATACGACCGTCAGACACAAGGGCTCGTAACAACACCAGCCGGCACTCCGTCCTGCGGCGGGAGCCCGGCGGCCAAACTCCTGCACAGAGAGACGCGGCGGCCCGTACCGGCCCGGTACCACACTGCACCGATCCGCACCAGCTGCCATCGGTTCCCCGTCCCTCCCCGCACCTTCAAACACAGGCTCACAGGTCACACATGTCCCCACCGGGCCGGCCAGCTTCAATAAATACTCTGTCGGTGACCTCTGCTCCCTCAGCTGAGCTGGCCTGCCACCGATTACCACATAAACTGACTCATACGGGAAAAGAGCCGGCCCACTTTACCTCCATATAACTCAGCCCTTCACACACTAGACTCGGATGAAATGAAGCACCACAGGCGAGCGCACGCACATAGAGAGACTAATTATGTCTTTCGGCACATACTAAGGAAGGTGAACCACTTCAACCCAGCGGCAGTATCCGTATACGGACATTAACGAGTGATTGTCGGACGTTCTCGAAGTGACGAACGTCTCTGAGTCTGCTGCAGGAGTTGGTTCACGTCGCGTCACGTCTCGTTACGTCACGAGCACGGCGTGTGACGCCGGTGCTCAGCTGCCTGATATCACTGGAGACGGCCGCTCCGTCCCGCCGCTCTATTCCACCGCGTCCATCCGGTCGGAGCCTGAGACGATCTTCGCGTCGGGGCCTGAGAAGCTCTCGGCGCCGGGGCCTGAGAAGACCTCGGCGCCGCCGCGGGGCCGCGCGGAGGCGGCGGCCGTCCACTCGGCGTCGGAGCCCTCCCCGTCCGCCGCCGGCCCATCCCTGGAGCAGCGGCCGCGCCGCCGCCGCCGGCGACACAGCACGTGCAGCAGGCTCTAGAGGTGGTTGGCGGCGTCGGTAGGCTGCGGCAGCGCCGGGCCCGGCTGCAGCAGGTCGAACCGCTGCTTCTGCTTCCGCTGCTCGCTCATCTGACCGACAGCCAGAGGGCGGGTGGAGTGAGATTAGCAACCGAAGCCAGAGATAGTAGGAATACTGACTACGCAGTTCGGCCATCTCAACAGAGTCGGAATGGGGCGCTACAGAGGGAAGTTGCCAACGCAGCAAAACAAAAACACGACAGTCGAATCCAGAGACGAACTCTTTCGATGTTTAAAACATACACGACTTCAAAGACAAAACAGAATGACAAGCTGCCATGTAATTTAATGGTGCCTCGTCATCTGTCTGACTTGCCGAACTAAACTTTGCAACAACAGAGTAGTCACTACCGTTTGTGCGTCTATGCACGCATCACCGGGCTGTTCCATTACCCAGCACGTCCTCGTCCAGATGTGTCCTGAGCCCCACGCCCCACACCGCCTGTCACAACCAGCCACTGACCTGATCGCGCAGCTCCGCCAGCTGATCGGACAGGGTCTTCACCAGCCCCATGGTGGCGTCCAGCTTGTGCTGCAGACTGCGCAGATCGCTCTGTTCGCCCTCTGCCTCGCCGGTGGTTAGCGACATGGCGCGCATGCGCGGAAACCAGTCCAGGTTCTTCTCCTAGCGACGGGGAAGAGAAAGTTAAAACTTCTGCTGGTGAAAGCTGGACTGGTGATGGTAAATAAAAGCAAACTTCTATTTATATGGAGACAAGGAGAAGGAGAGAGATCTATTAGTGCTATAGAGCCAATAAGTATGCATAAAATGGCATAATCCAGATGATTGGGGTAGGAAGAAAACCACCGAAGTAGCGGCAGGCATCAGCTGGCGCGACAAACTCAGCGGTGTCAGCATCCAGTGCCTGTATCCGCCAGCCCGCCAGCACAGCCGCACGCACCTGTACCATGTTGTAGACGTAGCTCTCGGGCCCGGTGAACTCTGTCGATACCTTCACCTTGATGAGGACGATGAAGTACAGGTAGTGCCACATGTTGTGCTCGCTCTGCACGTGCTCCTCAAACGTCACAGACTTGTTGTCGAAATCGCTCCGCTGCAGACCTGCGCACACAAATCGAGTCAGTCAGGGTGCGCCATAGAGCCGCGTCAGTCAAAGGCAATACTCAGCTACCAGGTGGCTCAGTTCGGATAACGGTGACGGCCAATACCCAAACTGTACAGGGGTATCAACAGCATCATCGTACCAACAAGACTTCTCAGCGGACAACTTCTCATCTAGGTCTATCTACCCTTCCCTCTCCGCCTGTCTCGGTTCTGATTCCCATCCTTCATAATCTCCGCCCGATCCGACCCGGCACTGCATGTCCCTTCACCCACCGCAGATGAAGCAGGAGTTTTTCAGGATCTCCTCCTTCTGCTGTTTGTCGCTCCTGAGGTCGGCGAACGTGTCGATGATGACACCAAAGATGAGGTTCAACACGATGATGATGACGATGAAGAAGAACAGCAGGTCGTAGATGACGCGAGCCGTGAACAGCGGGTCCTGTGGGTGGGGAGGGTGCGCCGTGAGCAGGGGTTCCTCTTCTGGTAGGTGTGACCGGTGGCACACGGCTTATTGTGGACAGGTAGATATGTGCTGCAAAAAGGATGAACCGCGTCTCATTGGTCCATGCAGTGTCTGGTACAAATAAGCTGAGCACATGCAATAAGTTATTCATCTGTCGTAATACTCTCAGTCTCCTCTGCCCAGCCTCCCTCCCCGTTCAAGCCCCGACCTCCGGGTGGCAGGGGCCCGTTGACCGCAGTGTCTGCCGCGGCCGCCTACCTTGCTGCTGGGAGCGCGCAGCACGTCTCCGATACCGCCGCCATTGCGGAGGCCCTGGTTCAGTGTGGTGACGATACACATCATGAGCGTCTCGCAGGCGCGCTCCCGCAGCTCCTCGCCGCCCGGCGGCTCGTCCAAAACCTCCGCTGTGGGCGAACAAACGCAGCTGAGTCAGTGATTAAATGCATACAGACAGTCTACGTGTCAGCTAGACACTTCAGGCACAGTTCAGAAGACACTCTGTAGCGACGGAATAGATGGTGTTAATATTGTCTTAGTCCAACACAAGTTACATGCTACTACAAAACAAAAAGCTGCGCTGCACTTTAACGAAAACGGCAATAAGTTAGAGAACAATCGAAATCACGGGGGGACGTGCGAGGCGAAACTTTCTGGCAGGCAATCACTACCCATCCACAGGTTGACGCTCTTCAGAAGCTACAGTTGAGGGCAACGATGAGCTTTTACCAAGTCGCATAATTACGGCCAAAGTTTGGAAGGTAAAGCACTGATGATCACAACTTTCTGCAGACAGAAATGCAAATGGGAATCCTTGACAAACTGACATTAAACTTTTCCATATTGGAAGGGGAGGTTGACTAATGTCAACAAAGCCATACCAGTCAGGCGTATAGGACAGTTTCCGAGTCAATTTTACGGCCAGTGACTCGAGCGACACGGAAACGCGTGGTACTCGCCGGCTTGATAAATTGGGGCGATAGGTTTACGGTCAGTAGCTGCATAAATATGAGAACCAGGTTCCCGTGGTGGGTTTCAACGACTGCATGGTTCTAAAATCCAAGAACTGCATTTATGATCCAACAGTCACAACAGGTGTTATCATCTGAGGACGAGCGGTACACTCAGTAGGGCGTTACAGCGTAGTTTTTTTGGAGGGGGGATATGCTTACGCCGGGTGTATCTGAGCGTGGATTGCGCCTAGGGCGGGTGTATTTTGGCGTGTTACACTTACGTCGGGTGTATTTGAGCGCGGGGTGCTCCTCGGGCGCGCACGACGTCTCGTCCTCACACCAGCCGGAGCCGCTGCCGGCAGCGGCCGACTCCAGTGCTCCGTCCGGCATGTCTGCAGCCGTCACAATTCGTCACACATCCGTTACGCAACACACAGCAGCGCAAACTAGCCCGACAGACTATCGGAATATAATATACATCCACCTCAACAACTGTCAAATTCTTCAAATATCTCTCAAAGTCGCCTTGTAAGACCCATGTGTATTACCTGCGCGCACGTTGAGGCTGACGGGCACCACGAAGTCGTCTTGGAAGAAAATGAAGCCGATGATGGAGAACAAGTAGACGAGGATGAGCGCCAGCACTGCCGTCAACAGGATGGACCTGCCGTTCTTGGTTACAGACTTGATGACGTTCAGCAGCGTCTCCTCGCGGTACACCACGTCGAACAACAGCACAGAGTAGAAGAAACAGTGCGACAGCCCCAGCACGCACACTACGAAGTAGGCAAAGTGGTAGAGTAGCTCGTAGTCGGAGACTCGTTGTCGAAACGTCTTCCCGAACGAGCCCTTGTTGCCCATGATGCTGGCCACGTGGATGCCCTTAAATACCAGCTGAAATGATCGGGGGACGAGACGGATACGTTGTTAGATCAGCTCGCACAGACATTAAAGGCTAGAACATACAGACACGAACCATTCATATTATAACATAAAGGACCATAAGAGATAATTCGGTAGAGGAGCGCAAGAAACATGAATAGCACAGTTTGTAGCCCGGATAGACATAAAAAACAGAAGACAAAGTAATCGAATTATTCGCTTTATCAGCCAGCTGTTAAGCGAAACACTGAACGGGATGCGGCGGCATGGACCGAGAAGCACTCACATTGATTAGGCCGACGATGAATATGACGGACTCGAGTCCGGCGCTGAATATGAATATGCAGAGCACGCAGAGGAAAAGTAGCATGAAGGAGATGCCGCCGGGGAACCAGAAGGCGCCGGCGGCCGCCACGAACGTCGCCGCCCACGTGAACGGCATCCAGCTGCCCACGTCTGAATCAGAGTGGGGTGGGCGGCCTGACTTATTAGAACGATTGGCATATATCACTGGCAAGTGTCGATGCACATTGCACATGAGGTAGATGATACGAGTCGACTTACAGATGATACGAGTCGACTTACAAGAAAAAGTACAAAAATGCGCAGTTTATATAAATTATTATTTTCTATCTTTTTTACCTAACACATAGCTTTGGATTACGAAAAGTGAATTGACTCCACAGGCGAGCTCTCACAGATCTTGTCATCCAGTCAGAGCAATTGAAAAAAGGCAGACCGAAAATAAACTGATCAAAACTCTCCCAAACAAGCATCCTTCCAGGGCCGTCAAGTCAGAGGTGCGCAATCTCTGTGCCAGCTCGGTAACTCACTGGGCCAGTCGTCGGTGAAGGGATAGCTGACCGCCACCAGCATGTTGATGATGACCGCCAGGAAGAACAGCACGTGAGACCACAGGCTCATGTAGTTGCTGATCCGGAACAGCAGCGCCTGACCTGGGGGGGGGGGGGGGGGGGAGGGCAGCAGGTGAATGAATAGTCGCGGTCGATGACCATGCCAAACTAGATGACAGTGCCTAGTAGCGACCAGGGGCAATACATCAGGCGGAAAGCAGCCGCCAGCCCCACTGCGAAGAGAAGAACCCTGCCAAGTGCCAAACCCGCCCGTCATACTAAGCAGTATGACGATAGGCCTGGTATCCACTAAACCCTGCTCCCTGTATTGGACCGTCCTGCCTCACCCAGTTCAACTCCTCACCTCTGAGTTTCTTTTGCCACTTCATTTCGTCGAAGAGGTAGTCGCACTGGTCGAAGAATCCCTGCACCTTGGAGCCCTGCTCGTCCCGCTCCACAGTGGTGTGGATGCGCGTCTGGGTCTCCTTGGTCAGGTACTCGCAGATCTCCGGGATCGGGAACACGATCTGCTCCATGGTTCGATCCGAGCGCACGATCTGGGAAGAGAGAGGGAGGGTAGTTCACTGAACAAGAAAAAATGTACCAGACAGAAGTCTGAGCTCGGAACAGCTGAGAAGGGTTGTGGAGCTAGAGCTAGTATCAAAAGCGACAAAAATAAAAGGCAGTCCATACTCCCGCGGCTGACGCTCACGCGTCACGAAATGACTGGGCAGGTAGCGCTACAATACGCATCGGACCGCACTTACACCTGGCTACTGCGCGGTATTCCGCGGTTCCGTACCTCGATTTGGGCCGTGTGTGTTCGGTAGTACTCCAGTGCGCGCGACATCTTGGTGTCGAGGCTCTCTGTCTGCCTCAGCAGAGTCTGCAGGTCGCGGTTGTGATGCGACAATTGGTGGCACAGGATGTAGATGTTGTGCCCCACCTGGTGGGCAGGAGACACTGGTCAATACCGAGAACTGATGACACAGGATGTAGATGTTGTGTCCCACCTGTCGGACGAGGATACTGGTAATTAACACCGAAACCAAATCATGACATACTGTTAGGATCTCATATTCTGTAAAACACAGTTAATCTTGGCATATTCAGCTTCCTTGAATAGTTTCCCGCCCCCAACCTTACCTCTCGCGGGGAGACGCCGTCGTCACCGTCGGCGGGGTCATCCTCTGCTTCATCAACCAGCCCGTCCTGGTAGTAGGCGCGACACGCCACGTCCAGCTGTCGGTGGAGGGGGGATCAGAGTCCGTCCTGGTTAAGTAGGCGCGACACGCCACGTCCAGCTGTCGGTGGAGGGGGGATCAGAGTCCGTCCTGGTTAAGTAGGCGCGACACGCCACGTCCAGCTGTCGGTGGGGGGGGGGGGGGATCAGAGTCCGTCCTGGTTAAGTAGGCGCGACACGCCACGTCCAGTTTTGACGGTGGGGGGGGGGGGGGGTTAGAGACAGTCCTGGTAGTAGGCGCGACACGTCCAGCTGTTACCAGGTGAAGACGGACAAAGGTCAGAGGCCGCATCAAGGGGGAGGGGGGTCTAAAGCAGCACAGTGCGCGGTCGCGGACAAATGATTGACTAATGAATGGGTATGTAACTCATACGGGAATGGGCGTCATTACGAAGGCAGTAATCAACATCCAACCGTTTCTGATTCCTATTTTCGGGGAAAACTCGACAAAATAACTGACAGCTCGTGTTGCGTAACACGTCGGATAAGACTGCCAGGCTTGTTGATGACAGCTCATTTGCTGACCAGCTGGTTGGATTCTGTCGCTGCCATAAAGGTTTTTGATTCATGTTGCTGGTAGGCCGGGTTCGGTACTAACCAGCTGTTTGGGGTTCATGTTGCTGAGAATGCGCTCGGTACTGACCAGCTGTTTGGAGTTCATGTTGCTGAGGATGACTTATCAGCTGCTTGGGCTTCATGCCGCTAAGTATGGCTCGGAACTCACCAGCTGTTTGGGGTTCATGTCGCTGAGGATGCGTTCGGTACTCACCAGCTGTTTGGGGTTCATGTCGCTGAGGATGCGTTCGGTACTCACCAGCTGTTTGGGGTTCATGTTACTGAGGATGCGTTCGGTACTCACCAGCTGTTTGGGGTTCATGTTACTGAGGATGCGTTCGGTACTCACCAGCTGTTTGGGGTTCATGTCGCTGAGGATGCGTTCGGTACTCACCAGCTGTTTGGGGTTCATGTCGCTGAGGATGCGTTCGGTACTCACCAGCTGTTTGGGGTTCATGTTACTGAGGATGCGTTCGGTACTGACCAGCTGTTTGGGGTTTATGTTGCTGAGGATGGCTCACCAGCTGTTTGGGGTTCATGTTGCTGAGGATGCGCTCGGCGTTTTCGCTGTCGGCCCGCGACTCCATGATGGCCAGCAGCAGCTTGGAGGCATTGTTCTTCAGGTCCAGCACCAGGTCCATGCGCGTCTTGCCCAGCGGGTTGATGTCGTTCAGGATGAGCGCGATGATGATGTCCAGCCCGTTGGACTCGTGGGTGGCGATGCAGTTCTGGTTCTCATGACAGGGACCCTGGACATAAGAGGTGAAATCAGTCACCACAAATCGATATTCGCCTGCCACCGTATGCGAATATGCCAATGCTTTAGCTCTTAGGGCACCTGCCAGTAAAAAAGAAAAAAAAAGAACTGTCATTTGCGTAGCCAACAAACCCTACATGCTCCCATCCCTGACACTATCCTGCACCGCACCAAAACCTTACACTACCCTGCAATCTACATAGTCGCCGCCACGTACCTGGCAGTACTCGGTGAGCGTTTTGAGTGTCTGCACAATGAGGTGCACGTTGTGCTCGTTGATGTAGAGGCCGAGCAGGCCCAGGCCGCCCGTGGTCGAGCCGCAGATGCAGTCCAGGAACATCAGCGTCTCGGAGACCAGACTGCACTTGCCCTTGTTGCTCAGGTCACGAAGGAAGTTCTACCGGACGGGGAGGGGCAGGGGAAGGGAGAAGTGCAGGTGTCATGTTACATCTGTGGCAGCAAACATATTTTATGCTCCCAACTTGTCGCATAAAGTTATTACAGCTGTTATTACAGTGCCTAACATTCGTCTACTTATTAGTGTCATGCGAAGCATACGTAGTGGCATTTTTTTTTTTTTTTTTTTAAAGAACATTGCCATTCTATTGCTTTCGATGTGCAGCTGTATTCCAAGGTCATTACTTCCCAGAAACCGTCAATCGTGTCAGTGACAGCGGCCCATATCAGCGGCGGCCCATGTCGGTAACGGCCGGCTCACCTGCAGGTCGGCGTTGTGGTTCTCACAGAGCAGCTGCAGGAAGCGCAGGATCGGGTCCATCACCATCACTTTGGCCGACAGCGCGTTGTCGTCCTGCTTCTCCTTGACGCGGTCGGCGCGCTCCGCCAGCATATCAACCAGCGCGTCAGACGAGGGCGTCAGACAGGGCTCCGACTCGTCACCTGGGGTCAGACAGACTCATTAGTCAGACAGAGTCAGAGGTCGGATAGGTCAGACACGGCTCCAACTCGTCACCTGGGGGTCACAACAGAATTCAACTAGGTTAGATGGTCCCAGAGTGCCGCGAGCCAGTTCACACGTCTTTGAAATTGGTAAGCCATCCATTCTTTTCCAAAATAAGAGCCAGATAGGTACCAGATCCAGGCAGAGCCAGATTCTTGGTAATTTCTGGGACGCAAAATTACTGCCCCTAGGCTTATTTCAGCTATAAAGTCTGCCAGTCGACCACTGCTATATTAGCCCATTTGGAATCCAATTTCACCCAGCCTACCAAACCAGTCCAGTATCAGATCAATAATTTGCCGCCGCTCCCTCGTACCTTCAATGGTGCTGCGCACATTGTGGTAGGCCTGCTGGGTGCTGCGCGCCGCGTCGTTGAGCTCGTGGCGCAGCTCGTCTGTGACGGTGAGCCCGTTGGCGCGCGGTGTGAGGCGGCGCGGCTTCTGGTGTCGCTCGTGCTCGCGGCCCTGCTGCTCCTCGGCCGTCTTGGCCGTGATGTCGGCCGTGTTCACCATGACCGTGTTCTTGATCTCGATCTGGGCGCCCCGCATCTTCTCCGAGAACACCTGCGCGAGACAGAGAGACGGTCTGGGGTCAGCTTCGCTTTACTGGCTTCACATCATAGAGAAGAACACTCCTGTGGCTAAAAGCCAGCAGAGCAGGCTGCACGGGCGACAACATTCAGAAGTCCAATGATCTAGGACAGTAGAAACGACATGCTGCTAGTCGAAACAGTATCATTAATTGAGTCCAGGACGACACTGACGATGTCGCTCTCACCTTAAAGAAGGCCTGCCGGGTGCTGTCGCGGCTGATAAGCGTGGTGAACATGCTCTTCTGGATGTCCGGGTTGCCGCCCTCGAGCAGCGCGATGCCCAGGTGGACAGCCTCGGTGAAGATCTCGTGACTGGCCGCCGAGCGGGTGACCAGCTCCATGACCAGCGTGCTGGCGCCCTCGCGGTCCAGGTGGCACTGCACCTCCGACATGGTCATACCGGCCCGCGGCAGCAGCGTACCTGGAATAGAGGTCACCCAGGTCAGACTACTGCGCCCTCGCGGTCCAGGTGGCACTGCACCTCCGAAGTGGTCGTACCGGCCCGCGGCAGCAGCGTCCCTGGGGGAGAGGCCACGACAGGTCAGATATACCGGCGCCCTCCCGGTCCAGGTGGCACTGCACCTCCGACATGTTATTGGTCATACCGGCCAGCGGCAGCAGAGTCCCTGGGAGAGAGGTGGGTCAGACACATCCGCGGCCCACGGCGACAGCGCAGGTTACTTAATTATCCAGGGTCAGAATAATCAACAAAGAATAATAAATACAAATTCAGCTGCTGTCAAAGCCAAAAAGAGCGTGACATTCACGTGGCTAGGACGAGCCGCCCATCCCAGCCGCAGTAAAGCGTTGGGTCCGACTGCCCACTGCGGACGCTGAGCTTCTCGCATGGCCTACCTCCAGAGGAGACACGCTGTGCGGCAGAGGAGCCAGCGCCGCCCGACGAGCAGCCCGACGACTTGGTGCGCAGGTTACCGAAGTAGCGCTCCAGTAGCGACAGACGCAGCTTGTCACCCTGACGGCGGGACGGCAGACGGTGAAACATAGTGAGGCTATATACAAAGAGGTGATGGTCGGGAATGCAAGCAGCATAACCAAGTACCAACAAACTGATCCAGTAAACCCCACCAGCACCAATACTTCAAACACTGATCAATACAATTACTGATGTGTTGAATAAAGCTCTGAACACAAATTACAATCATCTATTCCCTTTCATTCGGCGTTGTCCTATGTCACGAGGGAGATGGTGTTATCGCTCACCTTTTCTCCGTAGTTGGCGTCTTTGGACATCATCGACCTGAGCGTCTGGAGGACCTTGATGCGCAGTTCCTGCGTCCCTGAGAGGCCCTCGTCCGTGTTGCCCAGCAGCCGTTCCGTGTGTCGGATTAGGCTGGAGGTGGGGGAGACGGAGAGCGTTATGAAACTGGAGCGCATATTCTGTTAATTGCTACGTAAAAGTGAATTATGTGAGTCGGATTATATCGAAAAAAGAAACAAAGACGACTCCAAACATAAACGGCAATGATACACGGGACCCAGCTGCTTCATCTCAGCGCCATCTAGACAAACATATATCCTTCAATGCCCGACACCACTCACTCACCGTGAGATGAAGCCGCCGTCCTCGCACTTTTGGCGCGCCTCGGTGTTTGGCGGGAAGAGCAGCTCGGGCCGGTAGAGGATGTCGACGAGCACAGACTTTTCGGCGTCCACCAGCGGCTTCAGGTGGTCCTCCAGCGTGGCCACGATGTCGTGGAACCCCTCCAGGATCCGGTGATCCACACGGGCCGTCAACTGCACGAGGGGATAAGGCTGAGTAAACTGACAGATGTACGTGGGAGGGAGGCGATACAGTGAAAGTGGAGGAAATGGCGGTAGTCATCCACCATGCTACCACACAAAGAGCAGCTCGATACCACCGCCACCGACCGTCTTCAAACATTAAAATGCGCCAAATGAAACACGTCCGTTTTGCATCATGCATGTTTTCAACCACGTCCACCACTTGTCCATCCATCATTGATCTGAGTCTGTGTTATACGTTGCTTCGCCCTATCGTCACTCACATGATGGGAGGACACCTCCCGCTTGGGTCCTCTTATCATCTGGAGCCACTTGTTGGACTGCCGGTTCACCATCGCCACTCGGGAGAACATGGCCTGGACCTGCACCTCCAGGTCGCTGGGAATGGCGATACCGCGACTCTTGGCTGCCAGATAGACGGTGGGGAACAGCACGTTATACAAAATGAACAGGTGGCCAACACACGACAGAAGAGTACAGGTCAAATAAGCGTTGATGGCAAAGCGATAAAATTTACAGAGGGGGTAAGATCCAGGACAACAGAGTATCACTTACATCTTTCTGGACGACGATATTACCTTGGGGGGGGGGGGGGGGCGATGGGACCATGCATGTACTAATTACTTCTGCCAGCATTAGCACGTTGTCTGTACTATACCAACTCCCTGCCAATATCTGTACGTACCGACTTCCGCCAGCGTCTGGACGCAGGTGTCGACCCAGTGTCGCTGCTGCGGCTGGAGCCAGCCGACCTGAGATAGCCGGTACACGGCTTGCAGCAGGCGAACAAACACCGGCTGGCGCCTCTGTGAATACGCCAGGTCACAGGTCAGGTCAGTCACTAACACACAAACACCGCCTGCCGCCTCTGTGGATATGCCAGGTCACAGGTCAGGTCAGGTCAGTCACAGGTCACAGGCGCACAAATACCGGCTGCCGCCTCTGTGGACAGGTCAGGTGACAGGTCACAGATGTTAGGTCTCAGTAGTGAGTTCTGAACGCCGTGAAAAAGTCCGGTTAAGGCATCACCACTGAACTTCATCACAGCCATCCGACCGCGACAAACTTTGACAAACGTTATTAACACCACCGCGTCCATTTACAACGAAGGGACATGACCTTCCACACACAAGTCACAACGGTGGCTAAAACTCCAGAGATGAACACAGCACCCAGCTCTGACCCACTCAAGCAACGTGGCGCGAAAACACAGAGACGACAGACACGCCGAATGGACAGCAAGAATAATTGAACGTACAGCCAGACAGAACCAAGGACAGCATCCTTCACACAGATATACGGCATATGCGCCATATACATAGGTCTCATCGGCGACGGCACGGCACACTGAGACTTAGCGACTCTTTTTTTTCAGGCCAGCGCACAACCCCAGAAGGGGCTCCAAACCCCAAGGGTCGGCCAGCCACTTGCCTTTGCCCTGCGCCTGCGCTGGCCGCTGGGTCGCGGCGAGTTCTCCCTACACCGTGTCTGATCAGGGCGGAGCGCCCCGCTGGCTGGGGCTGAGCCAGTTCCATTCGACAACCTCCTGGAGCTCTGCCCAGTGTGGAGCGTTATTGCAATCTACCTAAATTCCGAGTTTGAGGGAACCTGCCTGCTGGCTGCTTTAACAAGCGATTCCAAAATCCAGGTTTCTCATGAACTTACAGGTTTATCACCGAGAATGACTCCCACGAAAAATTTTTAACATTCTCTGTTTGAACAATACCATTACTTGCGACTTTATTCATTTATAAATGGTAACCGAGAGTTTTCGATGCTTATCACTGTGTTGACGTTACATTTAATCGTGGAATTATATTCACATATTCAACAACCGGAAAGAAAATATCGATTGCAAACACCGCTAAATAAAAACCCAAATAAAACAAACTAAACAAAATCTAAAATGAAGCACGCCCCTTCAACCCATGCCCCTGAATGGTAAACGAGCAAAGTATCTGTCATAAAGCCCTGTACCCCTGATCTGCGGCCTCTGTAACTCTGTACAAATGCTAAGACAATACCGCTGAATTGCATCCCGTCAATGCATGGCTCTATGTTTTTTATGTTGTCTTATCTTGCGCTGTTAATTGTGCCAGTGCAAGCGACACTGTACTCGTAAGTTGCCATTCAAGCCAGCTGTTGTACGAGAGGATATTCGTTATTCAGCATCCTTTGTATACAACGAAGCCAAATGTTATTTTTAATGGTCTCGATACCAGGATATAGCCCCATGAAGTGTGCGCTTGATCGATTAGCACTTCAGACTTGTTGAATATTCCCTTACCGAGGACGTCGAAAAACACGACTGAACGAAATCACTAACAGTTAGGACACTGAACAAGACCCGCTCTACGTAATGCCTTTATTCAGCCTATGCCTATATATTATACGCATATTGTATAAAAACATAAAACACCGAACAGAAACTGCATAAAAACGCAAACATAGAAATAAATATAAATGAATGTAAAGCACCTCATATTAAAACCTTGACAAACAAAACCCAGAACATGCACCAAATTACACACTGCACAATGCATATCATAAGATACAATCGCTGAAAAACCGATACAATCAGACACCTGTAGCCCACCGATCCGAAAACAATCACCAATCCCCACCAGAGGGTCAACAACCAAACAGGCACGGATAGGCAGAGTAGGTGAGCCGAGAGAGAGAGCGCAGAGGGCCAAGGAACACCGTGAGGCCGTCGCCAACCGAGACCGAAGATACTGCAAGTGCATGGTTAAAGAGATAGAACCTCTACTGTGACGATATCGGTGAACATTGTGTAAGAAAGATGGTCCGCCACCGCAGAGTCAGAGCCGGTGCATAGACAGCCAGTCTGCGTCCGACCGTGCAGGGGTGAAACAGAGCCCACCACCTGAGAACCCGGGCCCGATAAGGAGGACAGAAGCCGGGCCGGCAGGCCAGTCACCGCCGGGGGAGGGCGGAGAGGACAGAGCGGGCCTCAGAGGAGAGGGTAGAGCTCCTCAGAGAGGGCGGATGGAGCCGACAGGGTTCCTCAGAGACACGGCGACAGGCGGTGCAGACAGGCTGAGAGCTGCGCCGAACACCACTTACAGCTGGGGCGAGCCGGCCGTGGGGCGCCGACAGCCAAAACTCGCCGGCGTCAGCCAGGTACCCCTGGTCGCAGAGGGCGGCGGCTCAGGGGGTCGTCCCCTCCCGGCGGGACGGACACACGGCACAGACAGCCCCAGCCGCGGAGAGGGACAGACCGCAGCCATCACAGAGGGACCGCCCGACGGGTTACACGGGGTCGAGAGCAGCGGGGCGGGTCCAAAGCAGAGCCGGCCACCGACGGAACGGTCTGCCGAACTTAGCGGCTAAGGAAGCCCATATCATTGCGCGCAGTACAGCCAATAATGGTAGTAGCAGAGTACGAGGCCAGGTGGTTAATATAGCAGGGAGGGAGGCATCCGCTTTGAAAGCCTAATTAAGGTAGGGGAGAGTGGGGCAAAGCGGCCACCCTAACGCTTCTCACGATGCCAACGCTCGATTTCTAAACTTGGAAAGATTCTTTTTATACCAATGTGATCCCTATTAAGTTGCCTTTTATTTCAACTGGTTTTATTTCCAAAGGCGTTCACATATGGAAGATATTGACAAAACTTTAAACCTATGCATATTGGCCACTTTGCTCCATACCCTGGGGCAAAGCGGACACCGGCGTCTTCTCAAGTCCCGATATGAGAAACGAAATAGTTGCCTCATGTACGACTAGGGTATTTGATTGTGACAAGGTTTAAGCGAGGATGGATGTTTACTTTATCATCTTCCACCTGTAGGTAAACAAAGAAAGGATTTTCATGAAAAAAAACATTTAATTGCATTATTTGGTAACTCGTGCAACTGAAAAGTGGCCAAGATGAATGCCTGACGACACATTTGAATATAAATAATGTTTTTTATCCAGATGGAAACAGGTTATGGCCAATTGGGGGGTGGCCACTTTGCCCCGGCCACTTTGCCCCGCGCATACCGTCCGAGACAACAATATTCCAGCTTAGCTATTAGTGGGGTAAAAAACATTAAAATTGGTAGAATACATGTACGATAACCATGCAATGCATGGACAAGAACGCTTATAAATATTCCAAACGGTTATGGAATAACACAACATTTAAAAATTGTAAACATAGTTGGTAGCCTGGCAAGAAATGCTTTTCCGTGTTTCACAAAACAATGGTGATGGGCCTGAAACCCCGGTCTGGCTCATTCGAACGACCGTGAAGAGAAGTATAATTGGAAACCATAAATTGGAACTGACGCCAGCTATGAAGGGCTAAAACGATGGGTGGCCGCTTTGCCCCGGGTGGCCGCTTTGCCCCACTCTCACCTACTCCATAAGCCAGGCAAGTATGGCACGGTCTATAGACACACTAACTCTCAGTCTCATCCCAGTCAGTTACTAAAGCCCACACTATACAGTTTATTGCCTCGGCTGCTGGACTGTCACGTTAGTAAAGGGGCGGCAGAAGACTCGTTAACCCACCTGCACTGTGGTGCTCTGGTCCGAGAACGGGCTCTTGAAGAAAGTGGTGATGATGTTCATCATGCACAACGTCACGTAGTTGACCATCACCTGGCATCAGACGAGGGAGGCGAGGAAGCCGTCAGTTTGTGGTACGGCTACATTAAATCGACTTCTACGGCACCGCAGATGATTTGAACGAATTCCTAACAGCACGAATTTCACGATTCATATTTGAATACAGCTAATCCAAGGAAATGCCTCGATTTGGAAGTCCCGAATCCATGGCAAAATAATAATAACATCAACACCGATAAAGTGTGCAACGTTTTAACGAGTTCACAATTTTCATAATTTGCTTTCTGGTATGCACCGCAAAGTTCCTTTCCATGAGGAGTAGCCTACAGTCCGCTCACTAAATCCCCTCAAACTTCCTTTCTTTCCAAGCTTCCTTTCTCAAAGCTCCTTTCCATAAGGAGTAGCCTACAGTCCCCTCACTAAATCCCCCCAAACTGACCGAGTCGGCGTGTTTCTTGTCATGCGGCGAGTTGGCCACGATGGCAATGTCGACCAGGAAGGACTTCTCGAACAGCGTCCAGATGTGCTGCGACGTGTAGATCTCCTTCATCTCCACCTCCGTGTCGATGTAGCAGTGGTTCAGGAAATTGATGTACGCCTCCTTCACCTGAGAGTGGGACGGTCGGCTTAAGTTAGAGCGATCAGAGTGCACAAAGCACTGGCATCGTTAGCCTATGCGATCGTTGAAATCGTTAGCTACACTGTGGTCGCCGAACTGACCACACAATTTCAAAGCAACGTTTTTTATCCTTTCATGGTCTAAAGATGAACATGTACAGATCTAACTTCACATTTCATCAGCAATACTTCAGCATCCCATCGAAAGAAGTCACATCAATCGCATGCTCAATCCGACACCATCGTCCCGTCATGTACCCACCCTCCAATCCCGCTCCCTCCGCCAGCTGTGCCCACCTCCGGGATGCAGTCCTTGTGCTGCACGATGGCCACGATGTCCTCGAGCGGCAGCAGGCTGTGGCACTGGATCTCGGTGCTGGCGTTCTTGCCCTCGGTGCAGTTGGACAGCAGGTTCACCAGTTCCATGTGGTACCGCAGCGGCGACGCCTCGTCCATGCGCTCGCGCTCCGAACGCATCAGATCCAGCAGCACGGCCCGGGAGGCCTTGTCGTTGTAGAAGATGAGCACCTCGTCGCCGACGTTCACCAGCTGAGACACAGAGCATCAGGTTATTCAGGTTACGTCGGTCAAATGACGTCAATGCGTCATTGGCGTCATCAACGTCAGAAAACCCACATTACATCCAAATATATCAAGCCTACGATCACCGGCCCATTCCCAACATATGTGCCTAGAGAAATAGACGTACGAGTAAATCTCAGCTTTTATTGCAAGAACAGCACAGGAAAAGGTCTGCTAGCTTCAGCCCAACTCTCGCTACATCCCACCCCAGTTAGATTATCGTCTACCCAGCGTTACCCTAAACTAACCACCCGCTCCCCATCTATCCTGCAAAGTCTCACCTCCTGCATGACAATGTCCTGACAGCGGCGGATGAACTGTCCCTCGGCCTTGACGATGGTCTGCAGGAAGCGCAGGTACTGTGTGTGCCGGCCGTGCGTCTCGATACAGTTGACAAAGTGCTGGATCACCTGCTCGGAGACCTCGTTGCACAGCGCCGAGTTGTCGCGGAAAATGGCGCACACCGTCTGTGCCTCCAGCAACTGACGGAGAGACGGGTAGGGGTTAGGGGAGAGCATAAATACACTGAAACGAAGGTGAGGTGAGCAATGCTCAAGAAGGGGCAAAGTATGCTATCAGAGGAAAGTCGCATGGTGGTAGAGAGAAGTAAACGGACTAATATGCACAGTTGCCTTCAATATAATTAAACACATTCGGATATCGTGGTAGGAATCAGATTACGTCAATGATACCAGGGAACGTGCACAAATAGACAGAGCCGAGAGCAAGTCGTTTGGAAATAACATTCAGGGCAAGGAAGGAAAGGAACATGATTCACCGTATCAGGACGAAGCGAGGTTGGACGCAGGACGGGTCTTCCAGCTCCACCAGTTCAGGACAGATAGATGCACAGATGAAGGCAGTGGACCAGCTCAGTCGTCAGTCTCTACAGTCATCCGGAAGGCCGTTCACAGTCTGTGCACACTGCGCCAGGGCACCTTAAGTAAGAGATTGCCCGGGATGGAACATCGAGACTGCACAGCAAACGCATTAAACATCCGCATTAAAATCCCAACGCCCGGCATAAGGTAAGGCTGACCAATGACCATGTAGCCTAACCATCAATATTCTACAAGACTGAGTCCCATTCCCCTGCTCCCTCTACCTGCCCTGGCGGGCGGCCCACCTCGTGCGTGAGGAAGAGGTCGATACGTTTGTGCAGCAGCTCCTGGTTCTGGTGATTGCCCAGACAGAAGTTCTGCAGAAACTCGTGCGCCAGCCGGATCAGCTCGTTCATCCGGACGTCCTCCTTCTGGTCGTACGGAATCTGAACAGAGGAGACATAAGTGACAAAGACAGCACATACTGGTCATGAAACATGGGAGGAGTCCGTTCGGAGTAGCGCACCAGCCGATTAACGGCAAGACACGGACAAATATGTCAGGAGCGCAAAACTTAGTCTCGAACCATGTACTATGCGAGTTTAAGACGTTCCACCTCAAACGATCGCCAACACAAGCTTCAATGAACACTCCGCTGAGACTGACGCTGACACACTGACACTGACCTGGAGCAGGTCGAGGACCACCTTGTGCACCTCCATGTTCCTCAAAAGACGCTGTCACTGACCCTTCTACTGACACTGTAACTGACACAGAAGCACTGACACTGACCTGGAGCAGGTCGAGGACCACCTTGTGCACCTCCATGTTTCTCAAAAGACGCTGTTCGTCCTTCCTGCGCCGCACCTGGCCACTAGAGTTCTCGATGCACAGCTTGTTCATCCGCCGCAGAATCTGAAGCACGTAAAGGCACGCGCACAAACATCAACTAGGTCCTGGCCTTGGTCTTAGGTTAGAACTACATTGAATAGGTCCCACCCAACTCCTCAACACCGGGATCTCCTTAAAATGAATGATCATTATATCCACATGATGTATTTATCCAACATCTCAACCACGTTTACCTAGCATCTCACCGTGATCACCACACCGACTGACCTGCTGCAGAGTCTTGTAGTTTTTGGCCTGCTCGGCCTCCACCTTGGGGCCGATGTCGAGGTCGATCGCCGAGCCCTGGCGGTGCGTGTCGCGCAGCAGGACGCGCGGCGGCGGCGGTTTTACCTCATCCAGCTCCTCCTCCTTGCCGGCGCCGGCCGCGTCCGCCTCGTCACACTTGGCCTTGTACACCCAGAGCTCAGACTTTTCGACCAGCAGTCGGAACGAGTCCAGGTCGGATTTGATCTGTTTGTACGACTCCACGTCTGCGTCGGAGACGAGCAGCTGAACCTGGGGACGGCAGGGAGAGGTTAACATCATCACAGTGGAAGCTGGGCGATGGATCAGTGCACTAGTAGAAGCGGTCAGTGCAGCTCTACAAAGGGCGAAACCGTGAAGCCGCTGAACTAGACCTTCAGTACAGGAACAAGTAAGTTTCGTGACCAGACGACTGGAGTCAAATGTACAGGAACGTGGTTCCCCCGGCCGCTGGAATAGAGGGAGGACAGGTCACTGACCTGGGTGTAGGGCTGGGACGGCGTACTGACCTGAGTGTAGGAGCGCAGCACCTCCAGCCGCTGGGAGAAGTGCCGGAAGAGCAGCCGGAGCGCGCCAGAGACCAACGGCGGGTACTCGTGCATGGTGAGGTGCAGCAGAACCCGCAGAAAGACGCGGCCGCTCCGTCCGTCCAGGTCCAGCTCGCTACCGCTGTCCTCCCTGAAACAGGACGCAGACGGCTTTAGCTTCAGTCGCCTGAGATGGAAAAAGTTGATTTGATACGCATTTGTGTAACCGGGGTAGAAGTGCACTTGTTCACTCACTGAGCATCATAGGCCATATCAACTTAGATTGTTTTGTTTACCTTTGGGTATTTCCATCAACAATGTGATGCGTGACAGTAAAGAAAAACAAACTGAATAATGCTAAGCCACTTTTAGTGAACGTGAGCATTTTCACCAGATCAGATGTATGCGCAAAAGAGTCGTCACCGACAGCTGGAAACTGCGAGCCGAGTAGATTCGACTTTGCCAGCCGCAAGACAATTATCCATTTCATTTTCAAGATGCAGTTGCGGTCTCACAAAAGTGCAAAAGCGTGTCACCATGCACCTGTGAACACTCGAAATGTCATAACATTTCGCGGCCACATAATTCTGCACACAGCGGCCATAACCTTTTAGATGGCCCGGCGACCTATTAGGCGCCTGGCCCGGCTGGCCCGCCGGGTCTCTGCCCACAGCCAGTAATACTCGGGCCACGCACGGTGTAGGGCTGTAGGGGGTAGGCAGACAACTGAACCAGTGACAACTGAACCAGGGACAACTGAACCAGTAAAACTGAACCAGGGACAACTGAACCAGTGACAACTGAGACAGTGACAACTGAACCAGCGACAACTGAACCAGTGACAACTGAACCAGCGACAACTGAACCAGTGACAACTGAACCAGTGACAACTGAACCAGGGACAACTGAACCAGTGACAACTGAACCAGTGGACAACTGAACCAGTGGACAACTGAACCAGTGGACAACTGAACCAGTGGACAACTGAACCAGTAGACAACTGAACCAGTGACAACTGAACCAATGACAACTGAACCAGTGACAACTGAACCAGTATGACAACTGAACCAGTGACAACTGAACCAGTGACAACTGAACCAGTGAACAACTGAACCAGTGACAACTGAACCAGTGGACAACTGAACCAGTGGACAACTGAACCAGTGGACAACTGAACCAGTGACAACTGAACCAGTACGGCAACTGAACTAGTGGACGACTGAACCAGTGGACAACTGAACCAGAAACAACTAATGTCGTACTGCGGCCTGCGCTGTATAGGTATAAGGTAGCGCGTGACTGGACGGACGGTCTGTGCCAATCTGCCGGTCTGCCAATTGATGTGTCCGATCTATTAGAGTGTCCGTCCCAGAGCCGTACGACGGCTGACAGGGCTGACAGAGCCTGGTGGTCGCGAACTGGTGTGGTAACCGTTACGCCCACTTGGGACGCCCGAATAGTTAGCAACGTATAAATAATATTCACTTTGATGGCCTAACTCGGGACAGACAGTGCACGCAACGTGGGCTTGGCAGAGTTCAGCCCGCCTGGGCCCAGAGGAATCTCCGGTATATAAATGGATTCACTGCTTGGGCTTACATCGGGCTTACGCCAAACGTCGCACAACTAGGCTTTCGGAACAACGGCTGTCCTGGGCTCGCCGAGAGGGCATATACCTCCGGCAGAGCATTGGCTTTAGTCGGCGTTTTTGTGTCATACGCCGACTTTAGTCTTTAGCCCAAGCGCTTGCCGACTTAAGTCCAAGCGCTAGCCGACTTTAACCCGACTAAAAATATCGGGCAAGCCGCACTTCAGCCTGCTTAGGCCCGGAGTAAAATTGCTTGCTGGGCTACTGGTTAGTGGTTCAGTTGTCACTGGTTCAGTTGTCACTGGTTCAGTTGTCCACTGGTTCAGTTGTCCACTGGTTCAGTTGTCACTGGTTCAGTTGTCATACTGGTTCAGTTGTCATACTGGTTCAGTTGTCACTGGTTCAGTTGTCACTGGTTCAGTTGTCACTGGTTCAGTTGTCTACTGGTTCAGTTGTCCACTGGTTCAGTTGTCCACTGGTTCAGTTGTCCACTGGTTCAATTGTCACTGGTTCAGTTGTCCCTGGTTCAGTTGTCACTGGTTCAGTTGTCACTGGTTCAGTTGTCCCTGGTTCAGTTGTCACTGGTTCAGTTGTCACTGGTTCAGTTGTCCCTGGTTCAGCTGTCACTGGTTCAGTTGTCCCTGGTTCAGTTGTCACTGGTTCAGTTGTCCTGGTTCAGTTGTCACTGGTTCAGTTGTCATGGAACCGCTGTAGGGCACCCATCAATAACCACCCGCTGTGGGACGTGTCACGTCAATCGCTCAGACCAGGGTGTATGAAGCCGGGACGCCGATGCGCAAAACCGTAATTGATATAAGAGGGTCATGGTCTTCGTTCGACGAACATACGCCGCTTCGGTGATGGGCGTTGCAAGAGTTGTATAGGAAGGATAAATTAGACTGATGACATTTCGATGAGTTTTGTCGGTATATGCGTGGGTCGATTCGGTGCTGCTGACAAAACTGATGAGCACTGTAAGCCCGACGATGGAAAATAGGCAGTGATATTTAGAGCGATAGAATACGGCAGATCGATGGGGATCGGGTCCCTGGCGACAAGGAATAGTACGCTACGTTCTTTCATCGCTATCGATGCACATCCGCTTTGCAATAATTACCTTTACTTCAGTCGTCCACAGCTCGAGGTGCAATTATGACAAATGCCATGATATTCATGTATACCGACAGCACGTCTATAGGCGGTATTCACAACGGCCACACGCCTCTGAGCTCCCCGGAGCGCCGGTGACGACCGCACAAAGCCGTCGAATGACGAATGCGCCAAGCCCCCGATACGGGTCAGTCCGCGACACTTGGTACTCGGGGGCGTCCGACCGGGACCGGGTCCTGGCCGTGCGCTCGTCCATCCGGACTCGGAACCCCAATCTCCAGCACGTCGGTCCAGCACGCCCAGCCGCGCTGACACCGTCCGTCCGATGGCCGTTCTCGTCACCGCCGGCGGTCCGGGCACGCCGCGCTGGTGGCGGCTGGCGCTGCTGCTGCGCTGGCTGCTGGTCGTCGTGCTGCTGTCACTGCTGGTGACCAACTTCAGTCAGCAGGTGTCGCTGATGCGGCGGGAGAACACAGTGATGTCGGTGAGCCGGGAGCCCCGCGGCCCGCCGCCCGCCATCAGTCTGTGTATGGTGGCGGCGACGCCCCGCGGGCCGCTAGCCAACGCGCTGCCGGTCTCCACCCGCCACTCCTCCCGGCTGGCCGGCTCCGGGCCATTTCAGGTGCCGCTCGAAGCGTGGCGCGACTACAACTGGTCCGGCCAGCCGCTCGAGTCGCTCTGGGACCTGGCCACGCCGCCGCTCCACCAGCTGGTCAGTTTCTGTAACGTGTACGAGTGTCTGGCCACGGAGAAGTCGTTCGCCACTCCGACGGGCACCTGGCACCGACACCTGCTCACCGACGGCGTATGCTTCACGCTGCGGGCCAACAGCTCGCTACAGAAGCAGCCGAAGGCCTACCGTCTGGCCGAGCAGGGCCCCGTGATGGTCGTCAACACGAGCGCCGTCACCGAGCCAATCATACTCGTGATACCGGGCAACGAGACTCTGCCGCGCGACGGGATGTTCGAGATGCCACAGCAGATGGTCACGCTGGAGCCGGGCAGCGGGTACGACATTCGCTTCACGGAGACGCGCTATGTGCTGGTGAGCACCCACCGCTCGCCGTGCCGACCGGGCGCCTACCACCAACTGTGGTGTCAAGCCCAGTGCGCGTGGAGCGCCGCCGCCGCCGCCGGCGGCTGCCGAATGCCCTGGATGGTGCTACCCGAGCCTCTGCCCGTCTGCAACGACTTCCCGTCGATGGAGCGGACGATGCGCGCTCTGGACGCCGGACCCACCACCCGCGACTGCCGCCAGTCCTGTCCGCCGGCCTGCGAGTACACGAAGTACGACATGAGCGTGCAGCGTATCCCGTTCCCGGACAGCCCGCGGCTCAGCGGCGTACGACTGGTCTGGGAGCGCACGGCGCGCCTGCAGACGGAGCGGCTCATCCTCAGCTGGCAGGTGCTGTTCACTGACATGGCCGGCCTGGTGGGGCTGGCGCTGGGAGTGTCCGTGCTCGGGATGGCCGACTGTCTGCTGTGCGTGCTCCGACCGCGGCTGGGTGGGGTACGTGTCGACACGGCCGGCCCGCCGCCGACCGCGGCGGCGCCAGGCTCGGTGGTGCTGCAGAGGCGCCTGTTCGCCTGGGAGGGGGAGCGCTGGGGCCAGCGGCAGCAGCGGAAGTAGGGAGCGATGGGCGATGGACAGTGGCGGCAGACAGATCAGTAGCAGACGGTGGGTGATGACAGCTGGAAAATAGCAGCAGTACTACAGCTGCGATAAGCGGGATAACACCAAATGATGAGACAGCTGAGATCGAAAACAAGAACGGCAACATCCTCACGGCGTAACTCTCAACACCGAAGCTGTACCACACATCCATCGCTGTGACAGAATTCGTCCGGTCAACTACCAACTGCAGTTGTCAGCAGCTGGCCTCGTCCATTCGCCAAGGGGTTATTCGAGTAATTTAATTATGTATTCGTCTCGTCCAAAAAAGCCAGTTACCGTTACCGCTACCTCCCTTTGAAACATTTCCTTCCCTCATTACTCCAAACTTTTCTCTCCGGCCTCCCGTCCAATCTCAGCCTCCCTCCACCTAACAGTCTCCGCCTCTCTCTCTCTCTCTCTCCTCACTCCCGCCCCTCTTTCTCCACCCACTCACCCGTCCTTCTCTTCCACCCTCCTCTCCACTCACCCGCCACCGAAGATGTCCTCGGCCTGTACGGCGATGCGCTCGTCCACGCGCGGTCCGCGCACCGGTCTGTCTCCGCCGAACACGCTGTCCCACTCGCGTTTGTAGATGGACAGCAGGCAGCTGATCCGGTAGTCGAGACGCACGTCCATGATGAACTGAACAGAGAGAGGGAGGGGAGGTCAATGAGACGCCAGACGAGAACACGGGCGCGTGACAGCGGGGGAAACTTAGTTAGCTCGGTTTGCCATGCGGTAGAATTGCAGTAGTGATGTTCCGTCTAATATTCTACGACGATGAAGCTAATGTCACTCTAACAATAAAATATAATGACAAAAGGTGATCGCTGATTGTGTTAGCTGCAATGCCCACCAGCCCTCCGCCTCGTACCCATTGTAATTTGCCATTGCAGATCGTGCCTCACTGCTCAGTGCTCATCTGCCAGTCCTCTACTATATGTTACCGTCACTGACCAGCTCCTGCACCACAATGCACCATCCACCCCCCACGCCGCCTCACTGCCTACCTGCAGTATCTCGATGATGTTCAGTTTGATGTCCATGACGAGCGTGTCCTCTCGTTTGGTGGCCGCCTTTCTCAGGCTGCCGCTGCGCGCGGCGTTACTGCCTAGTGTCAGCTGTGTCATCACCTGGCCCATGTCCGTCAGAGACTTCAGCACGCCGCTCTTGCCTGCCGGTCGGCGAGACGGGTGTGTCACGGCAGGGGCTGGCTGTCGCTCGGTGGTTTGGTGGGGTGGGCAAAGATCTGGGTTTACATGTCCGCGCAGTGTCAAATGTGAATGTCAACGATTGGCAAGATGTCATACGACAGGTAAAATGTAAAAAAATGTACGAAAGGTAAACCATATGTATACTGCTTTGAATATTTGCATCTTTTTTTGCACCCAAGGCGAACAAGAATGGCAATGGTTCTGGCAATGGTTCTGGAAAAATACAAAAACGAAAAAGAAACAGTCATGCCGGTGATAATATTCATGCACAAGATGCGACAGACGACATCGAATCGAAACAAAATGGACACGCGAATGCAGTGCGGACAGCGAAGGGAAGACTAATATAACTAAAGAAATGTCTTAACTGACTAAACGCTAATAATGCGGTGCGACGAAGTCGATAACAATTAAATAGGCGCCAATAAATGAGTAGGAACTGCATTGCGCAATGCCAGACATACAGCTTAGGGTAACCTGGCTAAATACATTGTGGAAAGCGAGAGCACTGTATCGAACTCAAATTGACGAAATTACAACGGCGACAAACTACATCCGTGCAGCGCCTTCAAAATACGAGCGTAAACACGAACGAAGAATAACCACCAGTATAGCGCCTTTTGGGGCGACTAACGGAGCGAGCGAGGGGGTGAGTCTTGCACGTGCGAAATTTCGAGGGGGTACCTCCAACTGACTTGTGCACGGCACCCTACTGACCGGTTTCTAGCGATGTGCCAAATTTGAGCACAATCGGCCCAGCCGTTCTCGAGATCTGGGAGCGGCACCCTGCACGTGCGCACGTGCAAAATGGGTCCCAACTGACTTGTGCACGGCACCCTACTAACTGGTCCCTAACCGTGTACCAAATTTGAGCACAATCGGCCCAGCCGTTCTCGAGATCTGGAAACGACCCCTGCACGTGCGCACGTGCAGCAGCACCCCAACTCTGGCACATGGATATGCAGTACCTAGTGGGTGCCTACCTACATGCCAACTTTCAGCGCAATCGGCCAAGTAGTTACCGAGATATTGCAACAATTACAAAACTGACACCTCTTCGTTTTGCACGTGGCACGTGCATAAGGGGTCACCCACATGCATCGGGAATAGTCCAATACTTGGTAGAAGGAATGAAGCTACCCTACAAAAATTACCGCGTGGAAATCGGTCAAGTGGTTGCTGAGATATAAGCCTCGCAAAAGCGTCCGCACGGCCGGCCGGCCGGCCGGCCGGCCGGCCGCTCATACTCAGAAATTTCCGTTAATCTAAGGAAAGACTTCGCTCGCTTCGCTCGCTCCGTAATAACAGCGACACAACATTTCAATCGCAATTAAGCACAAAACTCAATAGTCTGACGTCACCATGCCGGTTCGAAGCTTCACAATCATGCCTCGGCTCTGTGTCGATCCTACTTCGACCATGCCACGACAGGAACGCCTGAAACTCAGACAGAGCGAGCAAATCCCCCGCCGTCTCTCACCGTCGTCCATGTCGAACCCCCCGTCAAAGCCGAAGCTAAGACTCTCGTCGTCCACTGGCACTGTTGAACGGTGGGCGGGCGGGGTCAGCGACCGACGGCGATCGGATGGAGGACAGTTATACTGAGACGGGGATATCGCCGCGGAGGGGGCGTCAACACGGGGGGGGGGACGCCAGAGCTAGACCGGCACTAGCATCACCATCGATCAGCAGCAACAAAACCTTTACCATCACCGACACCGTTACAACCACCCATCACAGAATCACCAGACGTGTCGTCACCGCCATTTCCAGCAGTATCAGCACCAACGTCACTACCATCAGCGCCAGGAATCAGTAGCACAGACATTTTCCACAAAGACAAGAGCATCGTTCAGCTAGTGCCGGATATATCTAATGGTGATCGACCGGCCGGACCCGATCGCTCGGAAACAGCACCACTAATACGAATGGCGACGGCTGTCCACGATAATTTGTCTTAGTATACAGGGTGGAAAGCGTGGGGGCAGGGATCGGACAACACGAGAGCACCAGCGATCAATCTTCTCGGCAGTCAGCCAGGAGAATTACAGAGTGTTGAATGGATTAGATTTATGGATATGGAGGGCGCTGAGTGGGCATCCAACACCAGAACTGCTACTGCTTGATGATAGTGAAGATGGCAGGACCCCCAGGAGCTCATGATCAAGAGAGGGGTGCCTAGGGGTGTCTCTCTCACCGCTGATCTCGGCGCTGCTCGGAGAGTCGCCGCCGTGCAGGCTCTCCGTGCTGCAGTCCAGGATGCTCAGCAGCGTCTTGGTCAGCCGCAGGAGGTCGCTGAAGCTGTAGAAGCCGAAGTAGATCAGCTTCATCGCCAGCTTAACCACCTGCGGAGACGGAGCGCGGTGGGAGGTTAGCATTCGGACTTGGCGCGACACTTCACGATTATCGTTTGGATGGCCCGATAGCATGTAAAAATACTGCATTAGAGCAGACCAAACCCACTCATTTAAACTACTAAATCACCAAAAACTTCGACGGATGCAGGCAGCACTACAAGAAAGTTCGAGAGAAGTCCTTCGCGTCAAAGCTCTCCAGCCACCACTACGGGCTGCCAAGGCGACCTCTGACGGTGCCGCCATCGCGTACCTCAAACGTGAGCTTGCTTCAGGTCCTTACCTCGAAGGTGAGTTTGTTCTGCTCCGGGTCGGAGAAGCTCCACATGCGGTTGACCACGTTGCAGAGGTAGTTTTCGACAAAGTCCATGGTGGATCCGAACCGGGCGCAGACTTCCTCGCGACTGTCGGACGGCGTCCGGCTGCTGTCGTAGCTGCCGCGTGAACCACAGGGGCGTCACATGGGCGGCACGGGCGGCACAGGGCGTCACAGGGGATGCTACAGGGAGTCACGGGTACACTTACATGGGTGTCAAGAACCATAACGGGAAATGAACGTGATGAGGGTAATAGACGAAAAAGGAACATGGTGCTGACAGGAGAGATGGCGACAGAAAAAAATGAGAGTTTAGACCCAGACGACAGAAAGAAAACATGACAAATGGTCGAGAAATCAGATGAAGTAAAAACTTCGAAAATGATTGGAAAGTTGACTTGTATGAAAATGAAACGATCGACAAAGATCTTCAGATTGCTAGTCTACGTGTTAGTGAGACGTCGTTACACCCTCCTAGACTAAAGCTGAAATCCACGCAGTTCACGCAGAAGAAAGCACCCAGCCCCTGGACTGGGTCGCGGTTAGTGGGAAGAGCTCACGCTGGCGGCACCATCAGAGTATCCGTCTCGGCCCGTCCTCTGGGTCAATGGGGCCACGGCACACGGGTCGGTGGACTACCCACACAACCCACAATGTGGGGAGCGCTAGGCGGACGCTGGGGGTAACGCCGGCACTGCACGGTTGAGACCGAGTGGGAGCCGCAAGGGCGAGAAAACACGTTCACTTCCACAGCACAAGGAGCAGAGGACTCCGCGCTCTGCTGTGCTCTGATCAGTGGGACACACTTGCGACAGGGCAAAGCACAAACGCTCAGGTGACCGAATCACAGCGATTGTGATAAGAAAGACATCTTATAGCTTATTCACTGAGCTGTTTAGCACAACTAATAATGAAGGCAAATGATGAAGCCAGCCAACGAAGATGGAAATGTAGCGGAGGGTTAAGGCCTGGCTACACTATGCGTTTTCTGCGTGCGTTTTTTGCGTGTTTGCGGGTTTTGCGTTATATCGTTCTAGAAAAAAAGGTTATTTTTAATTAAACTTCTTTAATATTTATATTAAAGTTAATAAAACGTTTATGTTAATTAAATGTTTATATGAAAAACATATAGCAAAAACGTAATGTCGTTTCTTTCTAGAACGATATTCCGCAAATCACGCAAACCCGCAAAAAACGCACGCAGAAAACGCATAGTGTAGCCAGGCCTTCAGACGGCATGCTCGTCTAAAAAGTACAGCTTACAGAGGCAGCATGTCGAGACAAAACAGAACTAACAACACCAACGACCACAAATTTGAATGAAAGCAGCAGGGATCAGCCGGCACAGCAGCACCGCGGCTGGCTGGGGGCACACGACACTCGCCATGCCCAGAGTCGGCGGGGCGGCACAGAAAACATCGCAGAGTATTCTACAGAAATAAACCATGCACCATTTACCCTGACCGTTAGGAGTGTGTGAGAGACGAGCCTAGGAACAGAGAAAGAGCAGGGGAGAAATCCCCCAGTCAGAGACGAGCGGTGTGTGTACGAGTGTGGCAGAGAGGGAGATCAGGCAGGGGAGGGAGGGAGAGGGTGGGAGCGGCTCTCCAGCGAGCGGGGCTATCTGTACAGACACCAGCCGTGCGCCTGCCTCACTACCTAGCACCGACCAGTCCACATCAGAAGGGTGACGCAATAAATGTGACGTAGTGACGTGCCGCGTCCGTCTGACGTCATGTGTGGGTTCGCCAGACATGACCGGGAGAGCTCCTTAGCTACGTGCTCGTGTGAAATGCACCGTGCGTAATTTCTCCGGCGGGTCCTGCACCGGGAGTCTGAACCATGGGGAGGGAATGAAGGGGATCCATTACCAATAATAAAGGGATGAGCTGTGCCAAACATCGGACGATGAGGAGAAAGACAAATGATTTGAGACGATTGTTCGAAACAGAAATTTCACAGGGCGAAGGCATCAGAAGTCAGACGTCATCAGACGGATACAGGTGTACGGACGGACGGACGGACGGACGAAGAGCAGACAGGAAGACGAGACGGATGACGATCGAGTTATATTCGCCTGAGACCAGAACGGCCTTGATTTGGGTGGTCATCAGACGGAAGAGGTCAGGAGGCACGTACTGATTGAGTCATACAAAAACAAAGCAAGGTGGATGGATAGTAAAACAAGAAGTCAGATGGACCACATGGTACATTATCCAAGTGCGACTGGACACTGGACAATGGGCAGGCCGGTGAACGGGTACGGTGTTGTGTGCAGTGCTGTGTGAACTACGTGCACGTACTATCTGCCTAACAGCATTGTAACCAGTGCAGTGGTCGACAAGATCCACTATCAGTGCGGTAAAATTATTAAAGAACATCCAGCTGGAGACGGGCCAGGTGTGAACTAAACAGAGCCTCAACGTCCGAGTTCGGTGTGTTCATAAACTGAACAGAAGAACACATGACAGATATTACTGATATACACCTACTGAATAATGCTGAGATACAACACGTACGATACAAACTACACAACAAAAAACCCAGAACACACGAATAAACAATAAACATTGTCAACAACAATTCGTATTTCAACTCGGCGCCGTCGTGACGCCACCCATTCACAAAGAATCTACAATCGGCTGACACAGTGCAAACTACTAAGCTCCACCTGCCCTCACAATCACATCTTCCTCCGTGCCCTGCCCGCTCTGGCGGTTCTCTCAGCACCCCATCCGGTGGCTGTCCAACACCCGGCTCCCCTCCCCGCCCCGTCCTGTCGTCGGTACTCACTCGCTGATGGTCATACTGGTCTGGATCTCAGACCAGAGCCGCGCGTACTTGACCGTGGTGACCTGCTCCTGCGGATCGCGGTCGGCGTGCATGTGCAGCATCAGACGCGTGAAGGACGCGCGCAGCTCGAACGGCAGCGTCTCGTCCGACATACATCTGACGGAGACAGACAGACATACAGACGTGTGAGCGAGGCGCGCAGCTCGAATGGCAGCGTCTCGCCTTACATACACCTGTCGCAGACAGACACAATATAGATACATAAAGACATCAGATACATCTGACGGATCACAGACATATGTTGAACGCATCAAACAAATACCTGTTGTATGATAATGCCCAACCATGCATTTATCTATCAAACTATGCCAAACTATACCAGCCTTCAGCAGTAGGAACCCTGTACCGACAATATTAACCCACGCCCGAGTCTGAGAGCGGCCCGCGTCTGACCTGAGTATGAGGTCGATGCCGAGGTGGGGCGACAGGCTGTTGATGGCCAGGTACTGTCGGTCCAGACACATGTTGGAGAACAGATCCAGCTGGTGCCGGTAGTACTCCAGGATGTGTCTGTCCTCACTATTCCCGCTGCGCGCACCGGCCGCCAGCTCCGAGATCAGGCGACAGAACTGCGACGGGTGAAGAGACGGGTTAGGTACAGGTACACAATTCAGACTGTGGGGTACGTCCGTCAGAACTGCTGCCGTACAAAGGAAATAGAGCGCAAGTGCATTTTTTGCCATTTCCAGATTTTTTCACTGTCATATGAGTCGGAACGGTGTCCACCTATGTTTTGAACGGCGTGGTCCTATATCTAACGATAGGACCAAAATATTTATTTTTTAAATTTTCCAAAAAGCACAAGTGCGAAACCAGTCAATGCTGCAAGGCAAAAAGAACGTAAGTACCGTGAAGTCTATTAAAAAAGCGCAAATCCAGTCTCCTGGCATTTAATTCAAAAGATAAAAAGCGTAAGTGCACACATGCGTTTTTTTTGCCGTTGAGAATCCGGTTTGAAATGCGATGAAGTAAAGCGCGCTTGTACGTACTTGCGCTTTTTTTCCGTGGGGTTACCGTTTATAAAGACAACTTGCGGTTTATTTAAGGGGATCTTCGGAAAGGAAGTGCCAAATACAAGCGCGTGCGCCGCGGCGCCGGCGGCAACTTTAAAGGCGGCGTGATTTAATTTTGTAGTGAGGCGGCTTCAAAAAGACTGTGCGTGTGCGTAGATAACTACCTAACGTGAGGATAAAAAAGTGTCCGGAGTGTCTGTAGATAGTCATGGTATAGTTAATTTTCTGTTCCGAAGAGAAAATGGTGCGTAAGCGGAAGACAATCGACAATTTGGACTGCCGAACGGTACGAGGGCGCCTTCATGTTCGTGTACAGTGGGACGACACAAGCCAAGGCGACAGCCATTACGTGCCTGTCAGTACATTAAAATGTGACTCTACGCCACTTGTACCGGGAGCCCAAGTGCAAATGCGACACAGTAAGGGGAGACTGTGGAAAGGAAGGCTCGCTTGCAGCGCGCGATACATGGCCGCCTCTTCTTTGGTGTCAGGTAAGTGCAAACAGCCATTGCTAGATTTTCCCCCAATGTTACCTGTAGGCTGTAACGACTTGATTGTTTGATAATACCAGTCAAGCAAGAAGCTGTCCCTGCTATTATAATGCCCATTTTGAGACAGACTGAACAGCGATACGCGTCACGAGTACAAAAGACGTTTCTAATGTAATCTACAATCACCTCCCCCTCGAGAATCAAAAGCGTGGTGGCACTACTGTCTACAGTCTAAGACTACTTGAAAAAATCAATGTTTAATAGCATTTAAAATTATAGAACTTCTTCACACAGCTATACTGGCTCAAATATGATTGCCTGGTGCCTACAGCATATCACAAATTTTATTTTCCCCTTTCCTATTTCGTAATGAAATTCTATAATACATTACAGTGCATTGGAATAGAGGGTTCGACGGAATAACATCGTTTCGATATGTGTTCTATTTTACCGCAGTAAATCATTACCCAGATGCACATCATTGACACCCCTTTGTCCCGATTCCTTTCTCACCCACTAGTTGCGACGGATGAGACCACACTCTCGGAAACGGATGCCGGTAATGTCGCCGGCGGCGGCACTCATTCGGCGCCGGCTCCAGCCTCGACTTCGGTGGAGGGGACGGAGGACCGGGCCGGCTCAGGACCGCCGCTGGACCTCCGGCCCCCGCCGGCTCCAGCCTCGACTTCGGTGGAGGGGACGGAGGACCGGGCCGGCTCAGGACCGCCGCTGGACCTCCAGGGCCCGCCGGGTCCAGCCCTGGCTTCGATGGAGGGGACGGAGGACCGGGCCGGCTCAGGACCGCCGCTGGACCTCCGGCCCCCGCCGGCTCCAGCCTCGACTTCGGTGGAGGGGACGGAGGACCGGGCCGGCTCAGGACCGCCGCTGGACCTCCGGCCCCCGCCGGCTCCAGCCTTGACTTCAGTGGAGGGAACGGAGGACCGGGCCGGCTCAGGGCCGCCGCTGGACCTCCAGGGCCCGCCGGGTCCAGCCTTGGCTTCTATGGAGGGGACGGAGGACCGGGCCGGCTCAGGACCGCCGCTGGACCTCCGGCCCCCGCCGGCTCCAGCCTCGACTTCGGTGGAGGGGACGGAGGACCGGGCCGGCTCAGGACCGCCGCTGGACCTCCGGCCCCCGCCGGCTCCAGCCTCGACTTCGGTGGAGGGGACGGAGGACCGGGCCGGCTCAGGACCGCCGCTGGACCTCCGGCCCCCGCCGGCTCCAGCCTCGACTTCAGTGGAGGGAACGGAGGACCGGGCCGACTCAGGGCCGCCGCTGGACCTCCAGGGCCCGCCGGGTCCAGCCTTGGCTTCTATGGAGGGGACGGAGGACCGGGCCGGCTCAGGACCGCCGCTGGACCTCCGGCCCCCGCCGGCTCCAGCCTCGACTTCGGTGGAGGGGACTGAGGACCGGGCCGGCTCAGGACCGCCGCTAGACCTCCGGCCCCCGCCGGCTCCAGCCTCGACTTCGGTGGAGGGGACGGAGAACCGGGCCGGCTCAGGACCGCCGCTGGACCTCCGGCCCCCGCCGGCTCCAGCCTCGACTTTGGTGGAGGGGACGGAGGACCGGGCCGGCTCAGGACCGCCGCTGGACCTCCGGCCCCCGCCGGCTCCAGCCTCGACTTTGGTGGAGGGGACGGAGGACCGGGCCGGCTCAGGACCGCCGCTGGACCTCCGGCCCCCGCCGGCTCCAGCCTCGACTTCGGTGGAGGGGACGGAGGACCGGGCCGGCTCAGGACCGCTGCTGGACCTCCGGCCCCCGCCGGCTCCAGCCTCGACTTCGGTGGAGGGGACGGGGGACCGGGCCGGCTCAGGACCGCCGCTGGACCTCCAGGGCCCGCCGGGTCCAGCCCTGGCTTCGATGGAGGGGACGGAGGACCGGACCGGCTCAGGACCGCCGCTGGACCTCCGGCCCCCGCCGGCTCCAGCCTCGACTTCGGTGGAGGGGACGGAGGACCGGGCCGGCTCAGGACCGCCGCTGGACCTCCGGCCCCCGCCGGCTCCAGCCTCGACTTCGGTGGAGGGGACGGAGGACCGGGCCGGCTCAGGACCGCCGCTGGACCTCCGGCCCCCGCCGGCTCTAGCCTCGACTTCGGTGGAGGGAACGGAGGACCGGGCAGGCTCAGGACCACCAATTGATACGCACGATGAACTAGATTCTAGCTTCGGCAGTATTCCTTTGATGTCGATTTCCAACGGCAGTCTAAGCAATCTCGAGGAAATCGACGCCGATAATCTGACGTTTCCTGTCGAGGGGGACTTGTCATCAGACATCAGACGGGCCATCTTGCTGGGCGAGCAGTGCGATGCTGCCGATGCTACTCTGCTCGGTCTAGACACAGCAAGCCGTCCTGGCGACAGCGATGTACAGCAGCCAGAGACAGAGCCGTCTCCAGCTTTGACTGACACTGAGGAACGGCGCTCGACTGACCAAAGGTCTGCGTCGAAACATTCCTTAAGACCGGTGCCAGTGACATGCGGCGCTAGTAAGTGTCGGCAGAAGTGCACCGAAAAGATATCGAACACTCAGCGACAAAAAATAAACGCCCGGGTGAACCGCATGTCGTGGGAAACGCGTCGCCAGTGGTACCGGTGCTACGTTAAGAAGAAGGAGGTGAACAGCAAGCGGAACTTCAAGGGCCTGGGGCATGCCAAACACCGGACACTCGTCTGGACGCTGCCGGATGACAACGATCAGCCGGTGACAGTGTGCAAGCCTTACTTCCTTGCAACTGTCGGCTTGAAAGCCAATAACGACCAAGCCGTAAGGAACTCACTGGACAGCGATGACAAAGACGGACGGGGAAGCGGTGTGCCAGCAAACAAGATTGATGCGAGTGTCATTCAAAATCACTTACAGGAATACCGGCCTTGCAAACACCACTACCGCTACAGTCATGCTCCCCACCGGTTGTATCTCCCGGCAGACATCACAGCTACGGCCATGCACCGAGACTTTGTGGAAAAGAACGGGCCAATCAGCTTTGAAAGGTACCGAAAAGAAATTAAACGGATGAACATAAGCTTTACAAAGCTTGGAAATGAAGAGTGCGAGACTTGCGAGCGACAGTTACAGCATGGAAGAGCAGCACACGGAGCCGCAGAACGAGACGGTTTTGTCAACGTCGACGGATGTGACGAGTGTCATGAGCACAGCGAGCACCTGCTGAGAGCAAGCCAGGCCAGATCCGAGTACAGAAGAGAGGCCGACAGAAACTGGTCAGAAGATGAGATCGTCTGCAGTGCAGATATGATGAAGGTGACCTTGATCCCAATCCTTCCACACAAGACCGTTTTCTTCACACCCCGCCTCGTAGTGTTTAATGAGACATTTGCGACACTGAAAGACAAGGGGACAAAGCGATCGATGAAGTCACTTGCGGTGCTCTGGCACGAGGCCACGGCAGGGAGAGATGGCGACGAAGTGGCGGCAGCATTCTGGCGTTTCCTGTCTGAACATCGAGACAAAAAAGAGATCACCATTTTCACCGACAACTGCCTAGCCCAAAACAAGTCATGGATTCTGGCGTCGGTGCTGATGAATTTCGTGCACCAGCCTACCAACGCTGTCCAGAAGGTGACCCTGAAATATCTGGAGAAAGGGCACACCTCGATGAGTGCGGACGCCTCGCACCAGCTGGTGCAAAGAAGGCTGGGGAAGTGTAAAGTGTCCGACTTTCACGACTTTCGACAGGTGGTGGAGGAGACGGGAATAAAGACGCACACGATGTCCCACGAGGATTTCTTCGAGTTCCAGTCTGGAGTCTCACAAAAGAAACTGGCCCTGCTAGGAAAGGAGGGTCTCCGTCCGTACCTAAAGGACGTGAGGTGCCTGCAAGTCCGCAGGCACAGTGAGGACATCTTCTTGAAGAAGTCACACCTTGAGCGGCAGTGGAAGGCTTTCAGCCTCATGAAAGCCACGTTCGACCCCACGTGTGAGCCAGTGCGTCGCATCAGACCGCGTGGCATCAACAAGACGAAGATCGACACCATCGTAAACAACCTGCTTCCACTGATGCCGGGGCACAAGCACGGCTTCTGGCTAGAGCTGCAGAGCCGTGGCAGCGCTGGCGTACGGGACCTCACTGGCTGAGAGACCCTCTCATACCGAAGGTTCGCGACGAGGGTCTTCGGAAGAGATGGCATATGCTAGGGAGCACGTTCGCGATGAGGCAGGTCAAATGCAGTGATGAAATAGCCGACCTCCCCTTGGTGACTTGTGATTATCACATGATGGCTTTTATTAAGCCTTATCGTTTCGCGTACTCTTGCTTCGTACTTGACCTTGGGCAATAGACGTCCATATGATTTGTGAATGACTTCTTTGTTTTATGGCCGTGAACAGAAGAGGCGATTATCATAATCTATCTTACTGAACACCAAAATAAGATTTGCAACCAAGAAGGCAGACAAACCTTCTAGGTAGACCTTGTAAAATGGTACCGTAAAATGATTGAAATGACTGATCATTTTAACTACCTAGTCAGGTAGGTAAATGTGTCAACTGACAACATCATTTAAGGAAGGGGGAGAACAACACAAAGGTGACCAGCACTAATCAACTAGTCGTAAAGACACACATTGAAGTTTCTGTATCACATGCGTCCCTCATGCTGTAATTAGAAGGAAAGCCAATCAGATAAAGTATACATCAAAACCAAATCAAAATGGCATTCCTTTCATCTTTATTTGCGGTCATTGATAGTTGATAATAGACGCGCTTTTCCCACGTAAATAAAGCGCAAGTCGTGTACTTGCGGTTTTTGCTTCGCGCACTTGCGTACTTGCGCTTTATTTATTCGCCATCATTGTACTTGCGTTTCTTTTGCGTTGCATTGCCGATGTATTTCACGTCAAAAGTAAACGGAAGAAAACCTTTTACGATTTCTTAGGAAATGCAATGCACAGTTCATCTGGAAAAGTACACAGTGCATTTGGCCTAATAGTAAGGAGCATGATGATATAAATTTCGAGACCGTAACTTGACCTAGTGACATTCTATGGCAGCAAACAGGAAAATCGCTCCCCTGAAAAACATATGATTTGCACTTGCGCTTTATTTCCTTTGTACGGCAGAGTCTGGGTGACGGGCCGGTTGTAAGGTTAGTTATCAAATAGACGGTGAACCGAAAGCATGCCAGGATGAGATACAAGTTCTAAGTGGGATAACTTAGATACAAGACGGCGGAATCGAGCGTCTTGCTCAAACAATAGCAAAGGTGGCCAGGATCTGGGGCCCTTTAAAACAACCTGTCTCAGGTCCCGACCGTTACCAGCGTTCAGTTACTTTCTTCCCATTACCTTCCGTATTCCCTCGGCCTCCGGCCGCTACCTGTGCGGGTGCTCGAGTCCCGGTACCCGCCCCTTCTCCCTCCCTCCTAATCACCTGTCCGTGGCCTCCCTCCAGCTCGACGTCCTCCACCTCCTCCACGGTGAGCACGGGCTCGGAGCTGTCGTCGCCGTTCTCCACCACCACCTCCACCTCCATCGGCTGACGCTGCAGCCTGTTGAACAAACAGAATGTCGAGGTTGAAATTAAGCGAGGCAGAGACGTCACATGAAAGTTATGCACAATACAAGGCAAACAAACATGTTAAAATGTCGTGAGCTCAGGGAAAACTCGACTAAATGTCGAATCACAAATCAACATGGCCTGCAAAACAAAACAGCGCCGATGAGCGCCGAAACGCGAGGAATATTTTCAAAAAGATTTTGAGACATCCGATGAATAGGTATGCATCGTCCAACCGAATCAGCCTCCACCCGCCTATATCGAACAGCACCTTACCGTGTCTGTATGAGAATGTCCGAGTTCTTGGGGCTGAGCACCGACTTGCAGATGAGCTCCTGGGTGGCGGCGATGGCGACTTTGTTTGAGATGCAGAGGTGAGACAGGTAGTCCAGGTAGCGCGGCTCCCACTTGTTCATGTTCTTGCGCACCAGACCTGTCGTAAGGTACGCACAAACGGGAGCACGCCAGGCCATGTAGGTAAACGAACACAAAGTCATATCATATCATATCATATCATATCATATTATTAATTGGGTGTACAGTGAAGGTCACAAGACCTGAACACCCCGGTCCATCCCGGTCTCATGATTCTCATTGCGCGCTGAGCTTAATCTTCACTCGGTATCTGGGATAAGGCCGTCAGTTGAAGAACAAATTTCTATTGAATATAAGTTTAGTCAAACTCGGCCTTTGCCGTTCTATGCCGTTTTCTTCCCTGTCAAAATGTCCTAAATCGCGGCTGAAACGCTAAACATCCCCCTAGAGAGGTAGCTCAGGTTGGGATTTTCAATAGAAAATCACAATTCTAAAGAATAGTGATTGTTCTTAATTGAAAAGTCCCAACCTTCGGTTACACCAATTATACCTATCAGGTTGCATCAATATATACTAGCACAAACGTCTCAGCAAAGCAGCTACGTACCGACGAACGTCTCGATCTCGTTGGCGGTGATGTGTTTCTCGAGCAGCTTCCTGTTGTTGTGCAGCAGAGCCGTGATGGTGTCCTCAGCCAGAATGTCGCACCCGATCTGCTTCTGCATGAAGCCGAAGTGCTTGGCGATGTGCTCCTGTGGGAGGCGAGGTTGGACCGGTGAAAAACTGACTGAACAGGTAGGTATGCATCGTTGGCAGCTGCGTAATACCGACAGCTGCGTCCCTGGCCACTAACGAGATGGCCACTGGCTTTGACACGCGTCATGTCTAGTGCTCACATGTACCGTTTCCAAACAACCTCTCTCCGTAAATAGTCATGTTGACCTGCTGTGTTTCCGTACCTGATTTTTGCGGTAGTCCTGCTGGCTGAGCCTGAGTATTCGGTAGCAGAGCCGGAAGATATTCTTGTAGGGCAGATGCCGCGGGTCGCTCAGCTCGTCCAGCCGTAGGAACGGCGCGTCGCTGTTCTGCTGCTCACCGAACGACGGTACCTGGGTGGGGCAAGCACAGGGGGGTCAACAGAATATATAGATGATCAACAGGATGAGGGTCGTAGGTAACTATCTCCATCGCTTCATTTTACTTCAACATCAATGGTCACAAAAAATGAGTACGATACCACTTTGACTACCACAGCCATGACTGAGTCAATGTGACATGAATGAAAGATGTTCACCACTTTGTTATCTATTTTTAAAGAGCCCACGACAAAGCAGCAGCGCGGTCGCCAGTGCGTGCCCAACTGACCCTCAGTATTTTGAAGATGTAGTCGATGATGGACTGTTCTCGGAGCAGTTTCTGCCGGTCCCTGTTCGGGTGTCTGATCACCAGGTCCAGCGCGTCAGTGCGGTTCTGCTCCGTCTCCCGCATGGCGATAAAGTAGATGATGTCCTGCAGCAGTTGGATCACCATCCTGACGGAGACGAAGACGATGTCAGACGCTTGAAGGTATAGAGACGTCAAAAACACATGAGATGCCCCGTCCAAGGCGTCGTCACCGGCACTTACTGATTCGATAGCTTACAGGTCATGCCATGCACGATTATCAGTGACGCAACTTAATGCGAAGATAATTGTACTGAAGCTTCGCTATCATGCGACCATGAGAAGCACGATGACAGCCCAATGACGAGGCAATTTTTAACAATGGGCTGACATCTATCGAGAGAGCCGAACAAGCTGTAATGACGGGTCGAGGCGGTCTCGGCGCTTTCATCTTGTTATAGAGCAATCTGATCCGATCACGCGGGCGCTCTACTCACTTCCGCTCGTTGTTGGTGATCATCCCGGTCTCCAGTTTTTCGCTGAAGCCCTGCAGCACCTTGCAGGCGTCGTTGGCAAAGTCCAGGTCGCGCACCTCCTGGGCGGACACGGGTACCAGAGCGAACGCCTCCTTGTCCTCCTTGACGGCAGCCAGGCCGACCTGTCGAGAGGGATACGGACCGTCCGTAATCCAATTGATTCGCCAGACCGGCACAGTGTCCTTTTCACGGGATTTACGAATATCGGCACATCACCTAACCCAAGAGCATATTCATTTATCCGTCCATACCCATTGCATTATTCATCATCGTCCGTCTGTTGTCCTGAACTGAAAGACTATAATCCATTCAGACTCTTGATATCGATCATTCACTCGCTTCCCTCGGCGAGGATGATCCCATCCACCCGCTCATCCCATGCCTCTGAACATCCCATTGTTCCCCTCCTCAACCTCTCCACCTCCTCTCTCTCCCGCTTCTCACCTTGGACATGACTGGCCTCTCGCTCTCCTTGTCGATCGGTATGCAGGTAGAGTGCACCCACGCCTTGGTGGTGAAGTGCTGCAGTCGCACGTACGACGAGCGCGGCACGTGAGACTCGGGACGCGTGTACACCGTCGGGTCCAGCTCGAAGATGGTCTGTAAGTCGTTAGAGCTCTGCATTGGCACCAGCTGGTACACAGGACCACCTGGAAGCATAGGATTATTGGTAATGAATGCACACAAATGAATGGAAATACGAATACTGTATTTCCATTCTGTATTTCCATTACTGAAATACTGTATAATGCTATAAAGGTAAGAAGCATTTCAATATACAACACAAATCTGGATGGAAAGTCGTGCAAGATGACTTACTGCTTGGGTTCGCCGCTATACGATATATTTTTACCATCGTATGGGACACTTAACAAAACACAAGGATGTTGCGCCGATTGCTCACTAACTGTTTTGCTAGCTGGTTACCTGAGGAAAGAGGAGTTGATAGGACAAGCAATTTACCTGGAAACCAAGCCTCTACATCCAAGCAGTTTTGTTTTGTAATAAGCAAACAAACGATGAGTCATGTGTGAGACAGCGAAAACTGCGGATTACACTGGTTGACAATACTTCTTCGTCAAACCTACGACCAGAAACAGCTCAATTGATGGAAATATTGAGCCGCTAGCGTTGCTAGAATCGTTTATACGATTTTGCGATAGATAAGGTAGAACCCACAAATAAGAAATAGTTGGATAAGCAAGAAAACAAATTAAACTAAAACGACGACAAGCATCGTGAAGTGTATAAAGATGCGATATCATTGGCATGATAACAGTGTTTTCACAGATGAAAGAGTCGGGTCACTGCATGACTAACGATATGGGAGGGAAAACGGCGGACAATGCACATTTCGCCAGTCACAGGGCGCTGTCTGCCTTATAAACCACTCAGCGGACTAGCGCAGCCCACGCGGCCCGTACACTGTGGTTAGTGGATGAGCCCTGAGTGAGACGGGTTGGTAAGCCGGCGTAGCCCACACTGCCCGAGCTTTGTGGCTAGAGGCCTTGAATGTGGGAAGATTAAAGGTCCGGGGCATCCTTTAACCTGTACAGACGCTATTCCAACAATGTATCTCCTCGAGGACGGATAGCTGCCCAATGAACCAACCGCCACGCACGCAACACCTTTGCGACCTCTGAAGGGCCCCGCCCCGTTCGCGGACGTACCGCCGCTGAGTTTGTCTCGGTTGGCGTCGGGCGTGTCGTCGCTGTCCACCTCTGCCGCCAGGTACTGTCCGGTGGCCAGGTGTTTGTAGCGGAACAGCGAGTTCCAGTGGCCGGCGCCGCCCCGACATCGGTCCACGTTGTACACCTGGCGACAGTCACAGTCACAGTCACAGTCACAGTCACAGTCACGGGGTCACGAGAGATGACGGGTGCGCAGGACAGGTCACGAAAGGTCAGATCACTCTCAGTAATCAGTTCCGCCCGCATTCGGTAGACCACACGGCACGCCATAACTCTTATGCACTCCCATATAGCTGACTTTCAAACTTTTTAACAGCGGTAATGGTTAGAAAAAAAAGGCACAATAATAAGAAGGCCGCACAGGATTACACTGTTGCCACTGACATCCCTCCTCGAATTCCGTTTGCCTTGGGCCCGCCGGGCCGCCGGTATCTAACCTCCTAGACCACCTCCCAGACCGCCTTGCTGCTGGTGGCTGAGGTGGTGGTGTCACGGTCTCTACCCCCCCCCCCCCCCATCTGCCTGCCGCCGGACTCTTACCTCCACCTCCCAGAGCGCCTTGCTGCTGGTGGCCGAGGTGGTGGTGGCGCGGCCGGTGGTTCTCAGGAACACCACCTCCCGACCGTGGTGCTCGTCCACCGTGAGAAACTTCTCCTGTTCGGCGTGAAAGAGCCGCACCACGTCGCCGCCCTTGAGCACCGTGTCCAGGTTCTCCTTGTGCTCCATGAACAGCGAGATCTTCCAGCAGGTGCTGGCGTTCAGCACGTTCACCTGGCGAGGGGCGGGTGATAAGTGAGAGTTGTGTGACACTACGGTGATGTGGTTCAGTTTCATATTAAGTTGAAAAAGGTCGTTCGGCCCTTGAATACAAAATTCATTGCTCATCTACTAGGATTGTAGCCGAGCTTGCAGCCAGGTTTAGGAATATAGCTCAGCTCCTTGCAGCCGGGATTTTCCAACAGACTCTTTATTCTATCTCCCCTCCTTCCAGCCGAGGTCGTCGGGCAGCCCATGATAATGTTTCTCACCTCCTTGTAGCCGGCGTTGTTGGGCAGGTCGTGTACACCTCACCCCCTACAGCCGGGATTGCGAACATATCTCACCTCCTTGCAGCCGCGGTTGTGGAGCAGGCTATAGTATACTTTCTCACCTCCTTGCAGCCGGGATTGTCGAGCAGCCTATGGTACCGTCTCTCACCTCCTTGCAGCCGGGGTTGTCCGGCAGGTCGTGGTACAGTTTCTCACCTCCTTGCAGCCGGGGTTGTCGGGCAGCCTATGGTACAGTCTCTCACCTCCTTGCAGCCGGGGTTGTCGGGCAGATTATAGCACAGTTTCTCACCTCCTTGCAGCCGGGATTGTCGAGCAGCCTATGGTACCGTCTCTCACCTCCTTGCAGCCGGGGTTGTCCGGCAGGTCGTGGTACCGTCTCTCACCTCCTTGCAGCCGGGGTTGTCGGGCAGCCTATAGCATAGTTTCTCACCTCCTTGCAGCCGGGATTGTCGGGCAGATTAAAGCACAGTTTCTCACCTCCTTGCAGCCGGGGTTGTCGGGCAGATTAACCCGCGCCCGGCTGGGAGTCCTGGATTTCCACGCCCTGCTGGGGGGGGGGGTGTTTGAACACCCCCCCCCTTCTAACTCGGCTCCTGGGCCACGTAGCGATACGCGGAAGGCGGCGTTCGAAAGAGCGTCAAAAATAATGAGGAAATCACTTTGGTCAATTTTTTGGTCAGGTCAAAGGTCAGGTCACCAGAGGTCATTGAAGGCAAAATTTCGCCGATTTCCAGGTCGAATGTCGACAATTTCCAAGAAGCCAACGCATAACTCGGGAACCAATAGAGCTACAGCGCCGCGGAAAACAGCATTCGATAGCCCTATTAACGCCCTTTCTGAGTAATTTTCTCAGATTTGACCTAACGTCAACGGTTTTGCCTGCAGGGGGCAAAAACTGCAAAAATAGCCGATTTTTTCGGAAACAGTTTTTCTGCAATAACTTTTGACCCAAGCCTTGTACGAGCTTACTTTTACCGGCATCGTGTTCCTCTCGTCAAGACGTATCGAATGAACTATAACTTGACCTTGAAAGGTCAACTTGAAAATTTGACCTCAGGTCAAGGTCATGACCTGACCGGAAAGGGTCATGTTGCATATCAGTCGATCCGTATCGTCGAGCTGAACACATCTAAGGCGTTTTCATCGCTCTAGCATGCCTCTATCAAAAGTTGTTTGCGAAAAACTGTTAGATACCATTCGTGACCTAAGATGACCTCAGGGCATAAACAGGGGTCACGGACACCATTTTCATGTTCAGTGTGTCTAAACCACTTGTAATTCAGTGTTTGGGAGTGTTTATAATGTCTTTCGTCCAAAAGAGGCGCATTTCAATTTTCTCCCATTGACTTATAACGGGGAGGTCGCAAAATTGACCTGACCTTAGGTCATCGATATCAAAATTCTGAGATATACATTTTGTACATGCTATTGCTCTTAGCAATCGCTGAAAGTTTCAAAGCGATCGGTCACTCGGTGTAGCTATGACAGACATTGAAACTTTTTATGAGGTGAGGTCACTTCAAGTGACCTGGTGACCTGACCTTGAATGACCTTGGTCTGAAATTTTCACAACATGTGTAGAATTGATGTATGATAAGGTGTACCAAAAAGGAGCGCCGCCGTTTTTGAGATATTCGCGAAAAACCACAAGGGGGGGTGTTCAAACACCCCCCCCCCCCCCAGCAGGGCGCGGGTTAAAGCACAGTTTCTCACCTCCTTGCAGCCGGGGTTGTCGGGCAGATTATAGTACAGTTTCTCACCTCCTTGCAGCCGGGACTGCCGAGCAGCCTATGGTACCGTTTCTCACCTCCTTGCAGCCGGGGTTGTCGGGCAGGTCGTGGTTGGCGGCCGCGTGCAGCACCTGGCTCGTCTGGCCGGCGCCCATCATCACCTTGTCACCAACCACCACCTGGTCGCCGGCCTTGCGCAACTTGTAGAACGGCGCGATGTAGAACCACGAGCCCTCGTTGCCGGCAGCGTCCAGGTAGACGCGCGTGGCGTTCTTCTCCAACAGCGCTGGTAAGCGTTTGTTGACGGTGAGGTACTTGTTGGACTTAAGGTGCAGCAACTGCCGACAGAAGAGGTAGGTGATTAGTGGTGAGCTGCTAATAGCAGTCATAGGTTATCGCAAATTCGGAGCGACCCACGGTCAGCATGTCAATATAACGCGATTGACGGGTCGGGAAGTTTGTGCGATTGGTTTCTGTAATTGTACTCCGACATTTAGTGATCCATCGTGGGCGTTGGACCACCCATGCTCCACCAGGTCGGCCGGAGTAAATGAGCTGCCACTCAGCCATGTTTCATACTGTGACCGCGGTGAGGAGTCGGCCAGCCGGACCGACCCGGTCTGGACTCGGACCCTGGATCCAGCCCGTGCCCGGACCCATCAGCTCCCGGAGCACGCGCCAGGGAGTCGTCTGTCACGGCGCGCGCCCAATTGGATCGTGGCTGAATTACTGACCGGGCGAGCGGCGGCAGTTTGGCGCGATATTGACCCGGGATGAGAATACCATGGGAGGTCGACCGACCAACGAACGACGGACCGACGGGCAGGCGGACGGACTGGCCGATGGACGGGCAGACAGATGGACGGGTGGACGGATGGGTGCTGACATTTCTTTGACAGGGGACCCGCAGGACGAACGGGATGGCGCCGGAGATGCATTCGTCCCGGGTGAAATTCCACGAGTAATGAGTGATAAGAGTCTAATTTCCGGACACTGCTGATGTTCGTTTCCTCCTGGGCGTCTATCACAGACAAGATGAGACAAGAGACGGTCTGAAAAGGTGGTCCAGCAGCCTTCTATTCATGGTAAAAGGTCTCCAGCAGCAGCCAGAAGGCTGCTGCCAGAATAGCAAGCGTTTTTCATCTGATTTTTGCTAGTTTTCATTTTTATGCATTGATTTAAAATCATTTTTACCTTGACCTATACACATTTCTCGCTTTAATGAGGCGGTTTTGTTATGTAGGCCATTCCAAAGAGTAGCTCAAGTTTCCTTCTCGTTCTAATGAGCCACTAAAGTTTCTGCTCGTTTAAAACGGATCTCGTTTGAAGTTTCTCGCCCAGCTACCTCCCATTCCAACTCATTTTACTTGATAGTTTGCTCCTAGTCAGCTGTAAAACTTTGTAACACTATATTCCTTCGATGCTCACAAGGCGCAAGCTCATATCATTTACATGAGAAAAAGTTCGAAACAGTGAGACGATTTCAGCCTTGCCTCCATAAACTAAGTGCAGGAAGTAGGTAGTCTCTATGATCTCCATAAAGTAATATCCCCGTAAACAGTAAATACCATCCAATCTTTCCTCATCCTATCCAGGCCGTACTCTAGAGCACTGTGTGCCATTTTACTGCCCCGGCCCGCCCTGTGTTCCGTTCGCCTCCGCTCCCCGGTGGTGTAAACATGGGCCGCCTGGCGCGCTCACCTGTATACAGCTGCCATACTGGATTATTGTTCCCAGCAGCTTTTTGTGCTCGCTCTCGTTCTGCTTCTTCTCGATTTCCGCGGCGTGCTGAAACAGGGCAGACAGTCAGACGGAGGGAGACGAGGCGTCAGGTGGAACAGAGGGTGTCAGTGAGGTGGGGAGGGACAGCCGCACACAACAGTCGGTCACACACGGAACGACCGCTAGCTAGTAGAGACTGTGGCCTGTCTTTGTGTAGTCATTCAGGAATCATGTCAGTTCCTGCTGTCAGTCTGTCAAACAAGGTGCCGCACTGTGGGCAGTGTCGCTCATTACCGCCAGTTCAATGGTAGTTGCTTCAGCCAGGGCATCGGAGATCCATCACCGTCGCATCCACCCAACCACCCTCAAACAGTCTAATCATCGGTACGACCGTCTGCCGCTCATAGACAGGGCAGTGACGGTAAAATATGGGTGATCGGACCACCGCTCTCCGCTGGCAGTGACGGTGGCCGACACCGGCCGACACCGGGCCGCTCGGCTCCGTTTCAGCCGGCCGCCGCGGACACCGTTTACGGGCGGCGCTATTCTTGTGGTCCCCGAGCACCGCCGCGGCCGGTCCGCACTCAAACAAAGGTCCCAGCGTCGGAGCGGAGTCGACCGCGACGGGACAGGGAAGAGATACAGCTCTCCAACGACCGCCGTGAGCCCCTGATTTGGTGAGCTCCAAACTGTCCCCAACGACCGCCGTGAGCCCCTGATTTGGTGAGCTCCAAACTGTCCCCAACTACCGCCATGAGTCCCTGATGAGATGAGGTCCAAACTATCCCATGCTACCACCGTGAACTGCTGATGTGATGGGGTTCAAAGTGTCCCCGACCCCCACCACGATACGCTGTGATGAGCTCCAAACTGTCCCCGACTGTGGTGACTCTCCGCGGCACCACAGTCACCCCGCTAATGTTCCTTTAATGGTGACCGAACCGGGCACCGGCCCATGTCATCAGTGAGGGCGGACCCGGCCTCCCGCGGTGAATGGCAGAACCCCGGGCGGTCCCGGGGCCGGCGCAGCTGGATGATTAGAGCTGCAGCCCGGAAACCAGCGGCTCTCAGATGACGCTCCGGGAAGCCAACCGGAGCAGGGTTTGCAAATAAATGAAACGGTTTGGTCGTGACCTTCGTCCGGTCCAGCAAATGTCTGCCCATGAGATCCGCACATGTTTGGTGGATAACGGTCGCAAGCCTTTCTGTAACGCCAGCCCTGCATTTTCCAGACCGAAGTTGCGCAGGTCGGTACGGCCAACAAGCCACATCGCCACCGGGTGAGTCAGCTTGTGGCCGTGTAACTGTGTAACGGCTCGCCTCGCCGTTCGGTCGGCAGCCGTGTGCTGTAATAAAGACGACCGGACGGGGGCCAAAGGTCGGCCGGCGCCGCTGGGGCCGCCGCCAGGTGAACGGCGAGTGCCGTGGAGCCGCCGGCGCAGCCAGGTAACACGACCTGCCGCAGGCGGCGCGGGGCTGGCGACGGGCGACGGAACCCCGCGGCGGCCCGACGGGACCCCGCGGCGTCCGACACTCAGCGGGGTCTCGTCAGGTCAGGTTGAGTCTGGTCTGGGCTGGTCGGGTCTGGTTGAAACTGGTCGCTCTGCGCCGGCGACCAGACGCTGTCACGGTCAGTCGTGTCAACCACGGGCCAGACTTCGAAGGCAGTTGCGTCGGCGGGCAGCAACTCTAGTGGGCAGAAGTATGGAAATGTTTGACAGCTCTGACAGTGCAGAACAACATGCGGGCCACTCCAAACACCATGACCCACAAAGCAGGTGGCCTTGCAAACCCACAAAGCAACATAAAAGGTCTTTGAACGAATTATATTTGCATACGTCCGTCTCCGTTCAGAGTCGCATTACAGCGTGAGACATTACAGGGAAGCCAGGGCTCACAGCCGCTCCAAGTGACGGTGGGAGCCAGCTCAGCTACTGAGCCGCCGGTGGAACCCACTGCAGACTGTCTGGCAGTGATGCGGGGCAGGGGAGGGGGTTGTATTCGAGGCTCCGCCCGAGTTCATCGCCACCCGTCTGTGGACGATTTACGGCTCGGTACTAACAGGCCGGTAACGCAGCAGGTGGGCACGGCAGCCGAGCGCTCCGACCCGCAGCAGTCGACGACACCGTGGTCAACGGGGGATGATAACACAGCTCAGTTTGTTTATTAGGTCTTTGAGGCGCGTCTGCTACTATGTTCATTTCCCTCGCTTCATAAATTTCTCTCATAGAAAGCTGCCCCAGCTCGCACCTAAGTCCTGCGAGCCAACAACGCCAACACTTCCACCTTTACCAAACGGTGCCGCCATACGGGTGCACATTGCACAGTCTCACCATGGCTCCACGCGTCCCTCCCTCCCACCACAATGCTCCTCCCACCGGTCGCGGTCCCCCTCCCCTCCCCTCCCACCGGCTGTCGTCGCACGTGCCACGGGCCTCTCACCGCCCCGTCGTCAGGGCCGACCGGTCGTGGCCACGCCACCCCGGCCACGAACCACAATTACGAATCACAATATCGCCGCTGCCGTGACGGGCAGAAATGCGTACCTAACGAATAAATGTTCGTTAACGGGCTAGCGCCGGACAGCGGCGAGACGGTCCTCCGAATAGCCGCGCCGCCGCCCGGGGCGGCCCCGCCGGCGGCGCGGCCCTCTCGGACGGGACGGGAGGGGACGGGAGACGCTTCCCCAGTGTGTGGGCGCTCGGCGCGCGCGGCGGAGGTGCGCTCCCGCGCGCCGAGAGGAGCGTCCGTCGGGTTCGATTTTTTTGTAGTGTCTGCCTCCGTGGGATAAAGCACGCCGCTACGTTCCTGCGATCTACATCGGCACCGGTGACGTACCCTCTGGCCATGTATATGGCGGCACCCTGCAGTGTCATACGTGTTTGTCTCCGTCTCTCTGGCCTCTGTAGCCGCCTCGCCCATGGGGTGCACTGCCGGAGGCCGAGACGTGACGTGCTCCTAAGCAGTGCAGGTCAATTATCCCCGGTAAATACCTCTCAGATGGGCGTCGTGCGTGGCGAGAGCTCGCCGTCTCCATGGGCGTGTGTCTCGCGCTTGACGTCGCGCAGAAGAGTCTACCAGCGAGAGGAGATTGGAGAGCGAAATGCCGCGTTAAGCAGTCCCCTTCTGTGCCCTCTGAGCGCTGATCGCTCCACACGCTGACAGCCCGTACTTATTCGAGTAGCCGCTGACTGACCCTCTGAGCGCTGATCGCTCCACGCACTGACCGGCCCCTCTGAGCGCTGATCGCTCCACGCACTGACCGGCCCCTCTGAGCGCTGATCGCTCCACGCACTGACCGGCCCCTGAGCGCTGATCGCTCCACGCACCGACCGGCCCCTCTGAGCGCTGGTCGCTCCATGCACTGACCGGCCCCTCTGAGCGCTGATCGCTCCACACGCTGACAGCCCGTACTTATTCGAGTAGCCGCTGACCGGCCCCTCTGAGCGCTGATCGCTCCACGTACTGACCGGCCCCTCTGAGCGCTGATCGCTCCACGTACTGACCGGCCCCTCTGAGCGCTGATCGCTCCACGCACTGACCGGCCCCTCTGAGCGCGCGCTGATCGCTCCACGCACTGACCGGCCCCTCTGAGCGCTGATCGCTCCACGCACTGACCGGCCCCTCTGAGCGCTGATCGCTCCACGCACTGACCGGCCCCTCTGAGCGCTGATCGCTCCACGCACTGACCGGCCCCTCTGAGCGCTGATCGCTCCACGCACTGACAGGCCCCTGAGCGCTGATCGCTCCACGCACTGACCGGCCCCTCTGAGCGCTGGTCGCTCCATGCACTGACCGGCCCCTCTGAGCGCTGATCGCTCCACACGCTGACAGCCCGTACTTATTCGAGTAGCCGCTGACCGGCCCCTCTGAGCGCTGATCGCTCCACGTACTGACCGGCCCCTCTGAGCGCTGATCGCTCCACGTACTGACCGGCCCCTCTGAGCGCTGATCGCTCCACGCACTGACCGGCCCCTCTGAGCGCTGATCGCTCCACGCACTGACCGGCCCCTCTGAGCGCTGATCGCTCCACGCACTGACCGGCCCCTCTGAGCGCTGATCGCTCCACGCACTGACCGGCCCCTCTGAGCGCTGATCGCTCCACGCACTGACCGGCCCCTCCGAGCGCTGATCGCTCCAAGCACTGACCGGCCTCTCTGAGCGCTGATCGCTCCACGCGCCGACAGCCCGTACTTCTTCAGACCTGGCCGCTGATCAGCCCCTCTGAGCGTTGACCGCCCCACAAACTGACACCCTGTACTTATTCTGGCGGCTGCTGACCGGCCCCTCTCAGCGCTGCCGGCTCGTACGCCCGACGCGCGCGCAAGCATGAATCGCTGACTGGCCCTATATAGCGCGACTGGCAGCCCGTCTGCACGATTGGAACTGTGACCCGTCCCATAGCATTGTCGGCTCACATACACTGGTAAACAGCGGTACGCACGAATGGATCGAACGCACGCTGACCACCGCATGCGACCACGTACGGCCCGTACGCATCAGGTGACCGCGCGCACGCTAACCACGTGGCCCGGCCCAGCAGTCCTGACGTCACACCGCCCGCAAAGAACGGGGTCACGGGGTCGAACGGCGGTGGGCGAACGTGTGGTGCGGTTGACACCTGACCGTCCATTGTTTACTTTTCCCGCCCGACTGGTGTTTGACCGTGGGTTGTTTTCGCGCTCTCCCCACCGGTCACCCTAGCGTTATCGTACCCATAATACCGCTGGTGACGTTCCCGGCGAGGCCGCCATGTCGCCAACGCCCCCCCCCCCCCGATACTGGCGTCTCAGTGGACCTAAGCGCCTTCATTTCACTCACAGGACTGCAAACAACGCCCCTAACTGACGGTCTGTTATCCTGGCCTATGCAGGACTCCGACCGCTCACCCCAACGGACAACACCGCAGCGCGGAGCGCGATCGTTGGCCCCTGGGCAGACGTGACAGGCCCGCTACCCCCTACAGCAATGCCCGCCCACCAGACGACCACCGGAGCTGACGCGCCGGCGGGCCCCCAGCCGGCCCCGGTACATACCAGCAACAACACGGGCCCACGGAGCCGGAG